TAAAAAATAAATAAAATAATATTATTATTTATAAAATACTTTAATAATAATAAGTATTTTTATATTTAAATTAATATTATATTTTTTTAATAAATTTAGCTTTTTTTTAATAAAAAATATAATTAAATATTATTAACTTTAAAGAAAATTTAAAAAAAATTACTTTAATAATATATTTAAAAATATTTAATTTAATATAAATAAGTATTATAATATTAAAGTAAATAAAAGTTAATTATTTTAAAAAATATTCTTAAGTAATTAAAATACTTTTTACCTTTTTTTATTAAAATAAATAATTTAATCTTTTTTTATAATTAAGTTAATAAGTAATATAATAATTTTATTATAATTCTTAATAAAATAATAATTATAATTATAAAAGTTAAAAAACTAATTTTATTTTAATATTTATTAATTTAAGTTATATAATAATAATTCTAATTTAATTTTATTTTATTTAAATATTTTTAAAATTTATAATAAATCTTAAGTATAATATTATAATTATATAAAATTTATACTTTTATAAATTAATATATAACTTATATTATTTTAATTAATAAAAAGCTTAATAAATATAGTATTTATATTTTTCTTTATTTTAATTAAAAATAAAAATATTATTAAAATAAATAATATAAAATATATTAATTAATTTAATTAAAATAAAGTTAATATAAGTTTATTATATTATAAAAGTATTAATAAAATTAAATAATAATACTTAATATTAAAAAAGACTATAATAATATTAAAATATAATTTTTTATTATTATTTTATTAAATCTTAATATAATAATATACTTTTTAAAATTTAATTTTATAAAATATTTTATATTTTTTAATTAATTTAAAATTTTAAAAATTAATAATAATAAAGTAATTTTTTTAATAATTTAATTAAGTTTTTAATAATTAATATAAAGTTTAAGTTTTTTTTTTCTTAATATAAATAAGACTAAAGCTTTATATAAGTTAATAAACTTAATAATTTATTTTCTTATAATATATAATTAATATATTTATAAAGTATTTATAACTTTTTTATTATAAAAAAGAAAATAAGTTTTTATAAAAATATATAATTAAGTTTAAGATTTATTATATAAATAAAATTATTAAAAAAAGTAAGTTTTATTATAGCTTTATTATATATAATACTAAAGTAATTATAATTTTATAATAATATATTAAAGTTAAAGTAAAATATTATTTATATTTTAAATATATAAAACTTTTTTATTTAATACTTTTATTTTAATAATAATAAAAAAAAGATTAAAATTATATTATATATAAGTTTTTTTTTTATATTATAAAATAAATTATATTTTATATTATAAATATAAATGCTTTTTATTATTTTATTTATAAAAATCTTAAAATAATCTTTTTATATATACTTATAATTATAAAACTTCTTTTAAGTTTTTTTTTATTTTTTAATTATTAATAATATATAGTTATTTATTATAATATTTATAAAAGTTTTAAGCTAAAGTTTAAAAAGCTTTAATTTCCTAAAAGTTTATAAAAAGTAATAAAGTATTTTTTATTATTTATTTATTTATTATATTAATAATATTATTATTATTAATAAATACTATTTTAAGTTATTATTTATTATATAACTTAGCTTATATTAAATAATATAAAAATAAGCTAATATTTAATATAGTAATTAATAAATAATTATTAAGTTCTTAAGCTTATTATATTAAAAGAAAAATATTATTAAATATAATAATTAGTTATTTTTAATATATTAAGTAATTATAATATTTAATAGTATATTTAAAACTTTTATAAATAATATAATTTTTAACTTAATATTAATTTTTATAATAAAATCTTTTATACTTTTAATATTTTAATAAAAGTTATAATTACTTTAAAAATTCTTTTATTATAATAATAATATTATTATCTTAAAGTCTTAGCTAATTTAAAAAAAAAATATAAGAGTAGTTTTATTAAAGTTAAACTTATATTAAAAAAATTTTTAATATAAGTTTAATTTTAATAATTATTATTAAATTTATAATAAAGTTATTAATTTCTTTACTTTTTCTTACTTTTTCTTTTTATTTTATTAATTATAATTATTAAATTATTTTACTTATATACTTATATTATAAAATCTTATTTATATAATTAAAAGTCTTTAATTAAGAATATTTATTTAAATATTTAGCTAGTATTTTTAATAAAAAAGCTAATTTAAAAAGATTTAATAATTAAATAATTATTTTAATTATAATAATTTTATAATAATAAAAAGATTTATTAAGAACTTATTAAAATATTTAATATAATTATATAAAAATATAAATAACTTTATATACTTTTATAATTTTATTAAAAAAATAACTTATATAATATTTAAAATATTACTTTTAAAATATTTTATTTTTATTATTATTAAATATTATTAAAGTTATATTAAAGTAATTATAAAAGTTTTAAAAATAAATTTAATATTTACTTTAACTTTCTTTAATTAAAAAAAAGCTTTATAAATAAAATCTTTATAAATATAAAGCTATTAATTTATTTTTTATTAAATATTTATTATTTTTTTTAAATATAATAAAGTTTAATTATAAGTTTTTTTTTAATTTCTTTTATAAAGTTAATTAATTATTACTTTTTTATATTTTTATTAATTTATTTATTTATTTTTATAACTTTTTAATAAAAAACTTTAAAAGCTTTAAAGTTATATTATTTATATTTTATTATATAATTACTTTTATTTTAAAATTTATTTTAATTTATTTATAAAGAAATATAAAGCTAATTATAATAAAAAACTATAGCTTTTAAAATTTATTTAAGAATTATAAATTATTATAAGTTTATATTATTTTTTAATTAATAAATTAAAGTTATAAAGTTATAATATTTATATTTTATTATATTTATTACTTTTTATATTTATTATTTTTTAATAATTTTTATTTTTTATAAGTAAAAAAAATAAACTTATTAAAAGTATTTAAAAATAATATTAAAAAGTAAAAAGAATTTAAATTATAAAAAGGTTTTAATAAAGTATAACTTTAATTATATAGATTAAATTATAAGTTTTATTATTTACTTAGGCTTTACTTAAGCTTATAAATAAATTAAGCTACTTTAGTAATATAATAGCCTAGCTTAAGCTTATTTTAAGCTTAAGATATATTTAGCTAAAGTATATAATAATTATATAATATATAGTAAAATATTTCTTTTCTTTTTCTTTAAGTATATAAATTTATATATAAATATTTATTTATAAATATTATAAGGCTAGTCTTTTTATAAGTTTATATTAAATATAAAGGAAATTTTAAATATTAAAGTTAAAAGTTAATTATATTTATTTTTAAACTTTTTATAAAAGTATAAGTTATTTACTTTTTTATATTTATAAATATATTATAAAGCTATAGTCTTTTTAAGCTAAAGCTATAAGCTTTTAATAATAAGATTATATTAATTTTATTTAATATTTATAAGCTTTTTATATTATTTATAATACTTATAAGCTTAATATTAATTAAATTACTTTTAATAATAATATAATTCTTATAAATATTAATAAGTAATAATATATAATTAACTTTATTTTATTATAATTTATTAACTTACTTATTATAAAAATACTTTACTTTTAAGTTAAATATATATTAAAAAAAATTATTAATTAAAAAGTATAAATAATAGCTTTTTTTTAATAGCTAAATTTAAAGCTTTAATTTATATATAATTAATATAAGACTTATTTAAACTTAAAGTAGTAAAATAAATATATATAATAATATATTTCTTTTTATTATTATAAATAATTTATAAACTTATTTAACTTTTAATTATAATTAATTATTTTATTATATTTTTAATTTAAAATTAAAAAAGTTTTTTATTAACTTAAGTATAATAAATAAAGTATATATATAATATATATTTTATAAAAAAATAAAATAATTATAATTAAATAATATTAATTATTACTTTATATTAAATTTAAGGCTTTTTTTATTTTAAAGCTTATTAGCTTTATAATAATTAAAGGCTATAATATAAGAAAGCTTATTTATATTATAAATCTTAATATAAGAGAATTATAAATATTAAATAAGTTTAATATAATCTTATTATTAAAGGCTTATAGCTTTAGCTTAAAAAAGTTAGAGCTTTATAATATATTTATAAATATAAAAAAGTAAATAACTTATACTTTTATATAAGATTAAAAGATAAATATAATTAATCTTTAACTTTTATATTTAAAATTCCTTTTATATTTAGTATAAACTTATAATTTAATTAATATAATTAAAATTATACTTTATTAAGACTTTTTTATAATTTAGATTTTTTTTACTTTTTAATATTACTTATAAATACTTTTAATAATTTATTTATTATATCTCTTTTTTTAAAGAATACTCTTAATTAAGTTTAAAGTGCTTTTAGTATTATTATTAATATTATCTTTTTTATTATTTATAAAAAAAATTATTAAAAAAAAGTAATTAAAGTATTATTAATATAAGCTTAAGTTTTATATTATATAAAAATAAAAGTAAATATATTATTATTATTATAATTATTATTATAATTATTATTATAATTATTATTATAATTATTATTATAATTATTATTATAATTATTATTATTATTATAATTATTATTATAATTATTATTATTATTATTATTATTATAATTATTATTATTATTATTATTATTTATAATATAAAGAATATTAAATAACTTTTAACTAAGCTTAAAATAATTTAAAAAAAAAAGCCTTTAAACTAGTATTATAAATTATAATTTTAAATAATATTATATATATTAAGATATATAAAATAGTTTATATATATCTTAATTATAAGATTTTATAAAAAAGTAAATTTATTTAAGTTAAATATTTAAATATAATAATTATTAAAGTAGCTATAAATTTCAAAATTATTAAACTTAATTCAGGGTATATTAAACTAATCTTATCCTTTATTAGAGAACTCAGGAGGTGCTAATACTGTCTCATAGATCTTGGGTTTTTTCTCTGCTCTTCGCTTCTTTAATTCAAGCCATGGATCTTCCTCTGCAGCCTTTCTTCGTTTATGACCCTTCTTTCTCTTTCCTTGGCTATTTTCGTTCTGGAAAGCAACTGAGGTAAGGATGCCAGCGGCGTCGTCTTCCAAGTCGCGCTCTGCTATGCGCTCCAGCTCCTCTTCCTTCCTTTCCTGTATCTTTAACTCTTCTGCTCTCCATTGCTCGTAGAGCTTATGCATCTTGCGTTCTTTGCGAGTTCGGTACACCTTGAAGCCTTGTGCATCTTTGCCGTCTTTGTTTACGCTGGTTTTCCTGGCGAGCCCTGATACTGGCAAGGCTGCATCAACGCGGCTGGCGAAGGCCCCTAGGTTCTCGCCAGGGCGAATTTGCAGGTCCTCGCTCGGTTTATCAGCTCCCTTTGTGGATTTCTCAGCTCGGCCATCGTCCAAGCCTGATCTGAGTTTCTTGCCCGCTGCCACGGCCATGAGTCTCCTAAAGGCTCGGGGCGTATCATTATTCCTCGTTGAAATTTTCTGGCGCTTCTTTGTGACTCCGTCCCCAGAAGTTGTTGTCGCATTGCGCTTCTTTACTGGGAGTGGACGCGCATTCTCCGTTGGAGGCAGATCAAACCTGTCTCAGAGGTTAGTTGACGAAGCTTTTTCACAAGGGCCTGGCCACGCACTCAGCTCCATTGTCGCCCTTTTTTGATCTGTGCTTGTGCGGCATGATGTGTGTTTCGAAGTGATGTGTTTGAAGGGAGAAGCTGAATGCTGAACGGTAGTACGTCTTGGTATAGTATGAAATAAAATATTTGCTTATCTATATAACATCAGTTCTTATCAGCTTTGACATCACTATCTAGGTAGGTACCTACAGTATGGGGAAACTGAATGTACCTCGCCGCTCGCCAGCTTTGAGAGCAGCAGACGAAGGATAAGCCTAGACAAAGTACAATGCCACTATGAAGATGGAGATTTCTATTTCATGATCCATTGAGCTTTGTCCCATGCCGACGTTACAGCGTGCAGATATCAAGCAACCAAGGTACCTAACTAAGATGACCTGAATGAAGCGTAATGAGGCGAGTACGTACCTGCGGAAATCGTGCCGGTCGTATTGCGCTCAACTTCCGTTCCGTCGCACCTAGTCTAAATAATACGGGTATCATACTGTAGTGCCTACCTTACCACTTACCTACTACCGACCTACCTACCTAACAATCCCTGCCGCTAGCACGAAGCAGCATTTACTGTATCCCCAGCCCTCATCTCGTTGCTCTCCATCTGCGCTAACGGCCATTTCCCATTCCGCGCCTCTTTTCTCTTGCCAACCGCATCATCATCAGCCTCGGCGGATTCCCTGCCTGAACCTATATCTTTCTCGTCCAGCCGCGCCACAGCGAGCAGCAAGTCTTGCCTCGATTACTTCGTGCTCCCAGCCTTCTCCCTCGGTTTTGCCTCCCTTATTCTCTCCCATCCGAAGAGCGCTTATGGAATTCGCCCCCTCGCCCAAATCCCTGCCTGAAACAGCCGCCAAGCTAAGGGACAACACGCTGCTTCGATAACTTTCCGTCAAGCATCTTTTCCCTCTTTCGATATCCCATCATTTGTCATACAACAGTCTTGCGAGCGCAACTGCTGCGGTTTGCTGTTGGCTTCGCTCCGTTGTAGCGGTTTTGCCTTTGCCATCGAACCATCACGCGATCTGAGCCTTGGATAATCAACAGGACCGTCGAGGAAATCCGAATCGCGCATTAGCACCGCTTGATTGACGAGCTCTCTCCAACTGCGCCGACAAACCTGCCCGACGACCTCTTGCTCCTGTCGCGCGTGGCCCGTCGCAAGCCTCTTTGCCGCAGTTGACCATCTCTAGGTAGTTCAGCTGCACTCTTCTCTTTGCTCATCCATTATGAGAGAAGTCAATTTCAGTATCCCCAACGTCAACAAGGCGTCGGTGGGGATCACCACAGCCTTATACGATCGCCGAGCACTCGACTGCACTTCGACCTTGCCTCTAATCAATTCGCTCAATCATCTTGCCTATCTCACAACATCATCGGCACGTATCCGCGATATTCTGACGGTTGATGGAGGAATTGAACGCCTGGTCTGCATCCTCAAGCAGGGACGAAATGGGGACATGATGAGCGTTTGGAAATGGAATCTGGCGTTCCAGTGTGTTGTGAACATCGGCGTCCGAGGAACGGAGAATGTGCGGACCAGAGTAGTGGAGGCAGACATGGTCCCTGTCATCGCCACGATCCTGGATAACTATATCAAGGTCATAGACCGGTGTCGCGAAAAGGCGGATGAGCTGAAACAAAAACAAAGTCATGACCATCACCACCGACACAAGAACCATGACCATCGGCACTCGTCAAAAGCCTCTCCTCCTTCCCACAGCGGCCGCTCGGCACTTCACGATGGAGAATCACGAAGTCTTGCACGTCGAGAGTCCTCGTCTACGCCTGATGCTTTGGAGGCTTCTGCCGGGCCGTCTATCGCCACGACAGGACAGGGCGTCAACTCACATCTCTACGCCAATACCGATGGTCCGATTTCACCAACCAACCACCAGCTTCCCGATTCACAGGGCACCGATGTGCCTTATGCCACCACAGCGAGTCAGGACGCTCATCCTCTTGCTCCTGGGGCCCCGACTGCTGAGTTTGCGCGAGCTCTGCGCGATGTAGATCGCCTGACGTCCATGACTGCCTTTGGGCCTACTGATCTGATGACTCAACCAACGTCACCGACGACGCCCATTCCTTTACTCCAACTACGGCCGCCCGCAGTACGATCTGTAACAAACTTGGATACTGCAGTCGGCCGATCCCGAAGGCGCCCGTCAATCAGACATCAGAACTCGACAGCCGAGTCGGATGACTTCAACGGGGACAGCATGCCATCGGACGAGGCACCGGAGGCTGAAATGACGGGCGGCGCAGATATACAATCTGCTGTGGGTATTCAAGACATCACAATGGATGATAATGAGGCCCTTCTGGCAGGAGACGCGCTTGATCTCACCAACCCTACTGCGTCCGAGGCCCACCAAGACGCCGAGGCCTTCAATATTACTCACCGCACCAATCTCGATGGGAGCATCCGAGAGGACATGACACATACTCCGGTTGCACCGGTTGGCCTCTCGCCCAGTCGTCCGAACCTGGTTGCTGCCCCACACCCGCCGACCCCGATCTCTACCATTCCTCGGTATTTGCTTGACCGACATCTGATACCCCATCCGCAATTGCTGTCCGCCATGCCACGCGAAGAAGACGTACTCATGTCGTTGCAATTGCTGGCCTACGTTTCAAAGTATTGCTGCCTACGTACGTACTTTCAGAAGAGTCATCTCGTGCCAACCCTTGCAATTGGCAAGGATCTCTTGGCCCTAGACACAGACGACGAAGAGGAAGTGGGTGAAGAAGCGGCTTCTGCGGGCAATGGAAGCGATGCTGAAGACGAGTACTTGCTCGAGGACGACTTCAACCTGTTTCCCCTGGTCGAAAAGTTCACCGTGAGGTACCACAGCACGGACATGCAGTACTGGGCGGGGGTGGTGATGCGAAACCTATGTCGAAAAGACGACACGCGCGGAGGAATTCGACAATGTGCATACTATCAATGTGGCAAATGGGAGGAGTTCACTCGTCAGTTCGCCAAGTGCCGCCGGTGCCGCCGGACAAAATACTGCAGCAAGGAGTGCCAAAAGAGTGCCTGGGCTTTCCATCGCCATTGGTGCGTGGCTGCAACGCAGTGACGACTCCGCGCGTCTCAAGGGAGCTGCTCTCTTTCTGTTTCATTCCCCCCCGTTAGCAGACGTCGAAAACGCGGCCTTTTCTCCGTCTGAAATCTTCATTGGAAAATTGCGACTTCATTACATCACAAAGCGTTTCGTTACCGCATAGCATTCTTCTCGATACCACTGGTTTTCAAGGCGTATTAGGTTTTTTTAATCATGGAACTTGGGTCGTGCCCCTTGGCATCATCCCGGTCGCTCCTCGACTTAGTATTTGGGCCCCGTTGAGGTTGTTGAGGTTTAAGGTCCGGGCGTTTTATATCAAGGAACACACAATGCCGCACGACTACTCTCATCCGGCACGAGGCAGACATTCTGCAATTTGCGACATATATGCCCACATACTTACTTATTGATGTAAGGGGCATCATTAGATGAAGGCAGGGATTCACTGGGTTATTTGTCAAAACATCATCGATTCTACTTTGCATCATTTTAGAATACATAGCAATCAATCAACCGCGCAGCTTCGTGCGGCGCAAAGTTCACGGCGAGACTGGTTGGGCACCCACTTGGAGATTCGCGTCTCATGTAGGCTTGCTCAGATGACCCGTCCACCTGCACGCGAATATTACGTGGTGCAGAATATGATGGCTGCTGTTGTAGATTGACACCAAGTGCTGCCGCAGAGCCCAATTTATATAGATATATATGCATACCTACTTATAGTAGTCTTGTAGATCATGGTCAGGGGTTGCAAGGACAGGACGATCTCACAACTGCATCATATTTGTTTGCTTGTTTAGCTTAGGGGTAGTGAATTGATGCGATTATGGAAATCCTATATACTCTACTCACGGACTGATTTGTGAGGCCAAGGCTGAATTGAATCATTGATCAAGCAAAAAGACTGGGTCTGAGGCGACTGAGCCCAGAAGTGTCCTTGACAGGCAGCGGCAGAAGAATTACACCCACGCCCCTGACCGAAGACGAGTTTGCGACTCAGCCCATGGGGGCTGTTTCAAGTGTCATTATGCCAGTCGGGAGTGTTTGGCTCTTTATTTGGAAGCGGCAGCCTTCCTCCTGCTCTTGCCCGGCCGCGATGCCTTGCCTTTCATTTTCTTGACATTAAACCTGGAGAGATCGCCGGAGCTCATGGCATCGCCCGATTTTGCGTGGCGCTTCTTCCCTCCAAACCCATACTTTTCGTTCTTCTTCTGACGCTTGGCGTTCGGAGCACGACTTCCTGACTGTTGTCGACCAGCCCCCGAGCGCTGTGAGTGTTTGGCGATTTCGTTGTCCACGCTCACATCAAAGATGTCGGCTTCCTTCGTGCCGACGTCGGAGCTGTGTTCCTGGCGTTCTGCAAGATTGAGTGCGGTCAGTCCAGTTGCCTCGTACGGATCAGGGGCTTTTCAGTCGGAGGTCAACATACTTCTCTTGAGCGTCTTGATCTTGTCCAGCACCTCACGCTTGGCCTTCTGTCGCTCTTGAAGCTTGGAGACCTGCACCTGCTTGCCAAACTTTTTCAGGTCGCGGAGCTTGCGTGCTTCGGCTGCTGCTTTCTTTGCGGACGCTTCCTCAATCAGCTTCGCCTTGATCTTCTCCATGTGAGCATCCTCTTTGACCATTTCGGCAAAGTAGTCCTTGGGGCGCGAGAACGGTACCCCTTCCCGGATCAAGCGAGATCGGCCCAAGCGCACCGCCTCCAGACATTGGGAATAGAAAGCTAGTTCTCGTTGCAAGTCATCCGAGACATCGGGTATGGATTCCGAGGTCTGCGCGGATGAGACGATGGACTGGTGAGTAGCAAATGGAACGCTATTGTCCGTTGGGATCGATATCCTGTCGAGCGCTGCAAGGAGAGCCGAGGTGTTGTTGATGGTCAATCGTGTGTGGGGAACAATGTCTTCTTTCTCGTCCTCTTCGAGATCTTCGAGGTCGGAGACTGGGATCTCCTCATCGTCGCTTTCATCGTCGTCGCCCTCCTCCTCCTCCTCCGGTGAAGATTTGCTTTGACTGGACTTTGGTTTCCGTGGCAGTTTCGCCTCCATCTCAATTGATGATTCAGAGGTGTCGCTCTCGTAGATGGCATCAAGATTCATCTGTGCGCACGATGTCAGCAGGGCGGACAAACTATTCGGAAGTGCAGTGCAATCCCAACCTTTTCTTGATCCTCATCCGCGCCGTCATCTGCAGCACCCCCAGCCGGCTCGTCCAGCGCGTCTTCATCCTCGCTTTTCGGCTGCTTGTCGTTTGCTTTGAGGGCCTTTCTCTTGGCCGTTGCCTTTGCCTTCTTTTGCTGCTTCAGCTTTGCAAAGTCAACTCCCTTCTCGGCAGCCAGTGCCAGCTTCAGCTTGCTTCTCGTCACCATGTTTTCCGATTTTCTTTTGCTGGGGATGTATGCTCCGGTGCAAGTTGTGCTTTCGGCTGTCTATGAGAGTACGGCGAACGAGCCGGCCTAGACGTTTGGAAAAATCTCGGAATTCTGCCGTTCTAAGCATTTTTTTTTCTCCACCGCCTTGGAAAGCGGTGAGGACTGTGCAGGTACAGGCTCCAGGTACATACCTTATTTGAGGTGGTACAATATGCTTATGTCAGCCGCTGAAATAAGGGTCCAGACTTCTCCGCGAAATCGGTTGTAGACAGCTGCGATGGTACCCTATACTAATGAAAATGAGCGAGCGGGTTGCAAGCAGGCTTATTGAAACTCTCTTGATGTTGTCTACCTAGTTCTATGGGCAAGAGGATGAAGATTCAGAAAGTGCTCCTGGTCTACCGAATATGTTGCATATAGATTATAGCGAGAGTGCCTTATGTTGAGGCACTCCGTCTACACGGAGTATTACCCGGATCATTCATCACGTTGGAGTGTCGCAAAGGTCGCCCACTCGATGTATCGACCGCTTGACTGTGATCAACCAGTTATATACTACTAACCTGCCCTTTCATGGTTCTTCCGCCGTGCCTGCGACAGATGCTGGGAACGTCATATGTCAATAGTTCCCTCGGGGCCCTGGAACACCCGGCATGGTCATCACAAACAAACACTACCGAATCAAAATCACCTGGGCACGAGGGTATAAACCAAGCATGTTTGATGCCAATCTCAATCACCGCTAATTTTCGCATGCCGAAAGTATTTCATGCCCACCCAAGCAACAACAACCCAGACCCAGGCCATGACGCACGTCAGAGTGATGAGCGCGGGATAGTAACCCACGATTGGTAGAGTAGGGTCGTCTTCAAGCTCGGGCGGTGCATATGGCGTCTTACCTACATCCCACGCCCAGCTCCAGACGTCAAAGCAAGAGCCCATGCCCATGACGAAGACAAACCAAGTTACAGTCAACACAACCCAGCCCCACCACTCAGTCTCGGAATAGTCCCAGCCCACAGCTGGCTGAGGCAGCGTCGAGGCGGAATAGGAGAGAGGAGACTTGGCCTTTTGCCGGCGTTCGGAGGCGACTCGCCCGGCGTAGTAGGACTCGGACCCGGATGACAGAGGGAGGCTGGATCGCAAGGCCTGAGAGGCATGAGTCTCCAGCTGCAGCAGGTCTTCTTCGTCTGTCGTGAAGCTGTACATGTCCGCCTGCCCGGGCTCGAAGCACGCCGAGGAAGTTGGCGAGCCGATGGGATTAGGATATTCACTTGTCGGGGATGAGATGGGGGAAATGTTGAGTCCAAGGGCGTCGTGCGCCGTGGTCCCCGAGGCAGAAGCCGGACCAAAGCGAGCAGACTCGGCAATGGGCGCGTCCGCGATGGCCTCGGTATCAATGGCCAGCGGCCTGCCCTCTCTCCTGTCGCGCTGTGCGCCTCTCCCCAGGAGCGCAACCTTCCTGAGCGATCCCCTGCGACGCCGCGTCCTCTGCTGCTGGGCGGCGGCTACCAGCGCCCGTACGTGGAGGGTCGAGGCCTCTGCCTCATCTCTGGGCGGCGCGTCCTGGTCGACGGGTGCGCTCATGAATGAGTGAGATGCGTGTGCTGACCCGGAATGCGATGAGGGTGCGCCATGGCGAGGATGGACTGATGATGCCCGCTGGCTCTCTAGCGCACTGTTGGGCGATTTTGCGCACTTGTCCATTACCAATTAGGGGCTTGCGGTCCCTGTGCTGTGAGTGGGTAGTCTACCCTCGAGTTGCAAACTGTGCAACGACGGTAACCCAGGAGGTACTGGTATGGAGATCTGAAAATACCCCGATGCCGCAATACTGATTTGCTCGGCAGGCCGTTTAGCATTGACCCTTCTAGCACTTGCAAGTTGGTGGCGGGGTTTATCTCCAGTCCCCTTTTTTTTCCCGCCAGCCCGCCCAGGTATGTGAGATGCACCAGACAAAAGAGAGAGAGATGGAGTTCCAAGGGACCTTAATCAAAGAGCCCGGAACCCCTTGGAAATTGCATAGGTATGGTACGGTACAGGATTCATACCTGCCTCTAGCCTTTAGGTGACCGTTGAGAAACACTGTATGAAGCACCGCTTGTCGGCGGGGAGTTGGTTGACCGTTGGTATCGCGAGTTGTTAGTGCCCCAGTTCCCCCCTCTGACTCCGTGCTGCAGACCACAAGCAAGCACGCACCAGATGTTTTGGATTCGCTGCTACGACCTCCCAAGTGGGCAAAGCCAGAGGCATTCAGTCCCTGGATAGGCTGGCCTTGACGCTCTTCTGGCTGAGGATGCATCTCTAGTCTGTGCTCTAGCACAGATGCATACAGGTATCCATGCAGGTGGCCGCTCGAGCTCCTCCTATAAGCAGCCCGCCCCAGGCCACTCAGGCACTGTAGGTGGCATTGCCTATATAGGAAGAGGCACCAATTTAAGCCCCCCCCTGACCCTCCACTCGCTGTTGCGGCACTGTGCTCGCGGCCAGAAGCGTGTGTGCTGTCCCTTGCTAGCATCCTGTCGACAGGACAGTCCGGCCTCCATCCAGTCTTGTGTGTTGTCCCCTAATCTTCAAGAGAAGTGGACAGCACTCTCACCGCCGCATCTCTTGCGAAGGCACTCGTTTCTTTCGCCCTTACCTTTCCTCACCTCACCCGTCTGCATTCCCATCGTTACTACGGACTCGGCGTCGACCTGCCCATGAATGTCTCTCGTTCATCGCCAGCCCGTCTAGTAGTTCTTTTTTATCAGCCATCCTCTGTCTTACCCCTTCCAGCTCTAGTTTCCCGCCTGACCTAGCTCCTCCATGGCAGCGACCTACGATGTCGGCACGAGAGCGTGGCAGCCTGACGCTGCCGAGGGCTGGGTAGCCTCAGAGCTCATCAGCAAGACCGTCGAGGGCAACAAAACAAATCTGGTCTTTCAGCTTGAAAATGGCGAGGTATGTGATGCCTGATCTGATCGCGCACGTCGTGGCCCAGAGCCAGAGCTAACTCGCTGTGCCGCCAATGTCTAGACCAGGACCGTCTCCGTCTCGACGGAGATTCTGCAGAGCGGGGGCTCTGATCCCTCACTGCCGCCGCTCATGAACCCGACGATCCTTGAAGCCAGTGATGACCTCACTAACCTGTCGCATCTTAACGAGCCGGCCGGTATGTCCTTGCCCTTGCCCTCGACCCCCCCGTGCGGACCTTTGCTTATAAGACTCGGCGGGCAGTGTTGCAGGCGATTCGATTGCGCTACTTACAAAAGGAAATCTATACCTACAGTGGTATCGTCCTGATAGCAACCAACCCGTTTGCTCGAGTCGACTCTCTCTATGTCCCGGGCATGGTCCAGGTGTATGCCGGGAAGCAGCGCGCAACCCAGGCACCCCACCTATTCGCCATTGCCGAGGAGGCCTTCATGTATGTTTGTTATACGGCGGTTCCGTGGGCTGCAAGGCTGTGTCTGATGCTGACTGGCCTTCCTTTAGGGACATGATCCGTGATGGAAAGAACCAAACCGTCGTCGTCTCAGGCGAATCCGGCGCTGGAAAGACAGTCAGCGCCAAGTACATCATGCGCTACTTCGCCACGAGAGAATCCCCCGAAAACCCAGGCGCTCGTAGCAAGCGAGGCTCCGAGCAAATGAGCGAGACGGAGGAACAGATTCTGGCAACCAACCCCATCATGGAAGCTTTCGGCAACGCAAAAACCACCCGCAATGACAACTCTTCGCGATTCGGTAAATACATCGAAATCATGTTCGACGATCAGAGGAACATCATTGGCGCCAAGATTCGCACCTATCTGCTGGAGCGATCACGTCTCGTGTTCCAGCCTCTCAAGGAGCGCAACTACCACATCTTCTACCAGCTGGTTGCAGGCGCCTCGGACGAAGAGCGGGAGGCGCTGCACCTCCTCCCCATCGAGCAGTTTGAGTATCTCAACCAGGGAGACTGCCCGACCATTGATGGAGTGGACGACAAGGCCGAGTTCGACGCCACCAAGAAATCCTTGGCCACCATTGGCGTGACCGAAGCGCAGCAGGCCGACATCTTCAAGCTGCTGGCCGGTCTCCTCCACCTGGGCAACGTCAAGATCACTGCTTCACGCAACGACAGTGTCCTCGCGCCGAACGAGCCATCGTTGGAGCTGGCCTGTGGCATCTTGGGCGTCGACGCCGCCGAGTTCGCCAAGTGGATTGTGAAGAAGCAGCTCGTCACCCGAGGCGAGAAGATCACATCCAACCTGAGTCAGGCCCAAGCCATTGTCGTGCGCGATTCCGTGGCCAAGTTCATCTACTCAAGCTTATTCGACTGGCTGGTTGAGATTATCAACCACAGTCTCGCCACAGAAGAGGTCCTCAGCCGCGTCGTTTCGTTCATCGGCGTATTGGATATCTACGGTTTTGAGCACTTTGCCAAGAACTCGTTTGAGCAGTTCTGCATCAACTACGCTAATGAGAAGCTTCAGCAAGAGTTCAACCAGCACGTGTTCAAGCTCGAACAGGAAGAGTATCTGCGGGAGCAGATCGACTGGACCTTCATCGACTTCTCCGACAACCAGCCGTGCATTGATCTCATCGAGGGCAAGATGGGCATTCTTTCTCTCCTGGACGAGGAGTCTCGTCTGCCAATGGGATCGGATGACCAGTTTGTTACCAAGCTTCACCATAACTTTGCGACTGAGAAGAAGCACCCCTTTTTCAAGAAGCCGAGGTTTGGCAAGTCGGCCTTTACCGTATGCCACTATGCCGTCGACGTCACCTACGAGTCCGAGGGCTTCATCGAGAAGAACCGAGACACCGTGCCCGACGAGCACATGGCAGTCCTGCGCGCCTCGAGCAACTCATTTCTCAAGCAAGTTTTGGATGCTGCATTGGCTGTTCGCGAAAAGGACGTCGCCTCGGCTTCGTCGACTGTCAAGCCCGCTGCTGGTAGGAAGATCGGCGTGGCTGTGAACAGGAAACCGACCCTGGGAGGAATTTTCCGATCGTCCCTGATAGAGCTGATGAACACCATCAACAACACGGACGTGCACTACATCCGATGCATCAAGCCCAATGAAGCCAAGGAGGCCTGGCAGTTCGAAGGGCCGATGGTCCTCAGCCAGCTTCGCGCTTGCGGTGTTCTCGAGACTGTTCGCATCAGCACGGCGGGATACCCGACTCGTTGGACGTATGAGGAATTTGCTCTGCGGTATTACATGCTCGTCCACTCGAGCCAACTCACCTCTGAGATTCGGCAAATGGCCGATGCCATCCTGAAAAAGGCGCTGGGCACCAGCACTGGAAAGGGGCTCGACAAGTATCAGCTTGGCTTGACAAAGATCTTTTTCCGCGCCGGTATGCTTGCTTTCCTGGAGAACCTGCGCACCAACCGTCTCAATGAATGCGCCATCCTCATCCAGAAGAACCTGCGGGCCAAGTACTATCGCCGCCGCTATCTGGAGGCTCGCGAATCCATTGTGCAGACGCAAGCAGTGATTCGGGCGTACATTGCAAGGAAACAGGCCATGGAGCTGAGGACCATCCGCGCCGCGACCACCATCCAGCGTGTCTGGCGCGGATACAAGCAGCGCAAGGAGTTCCTGCGCATCCGAAAGAACCTGATCCTGTTCGAGTCAGTCGCCAAGGGCTACCTGCGCAGGCGAAACATCATGGAGACAAGGGTCGGCAATGCTGCGCTCGTCATCCAGAGAGTATGGAGATCTCGTATGCAGCTTCGCACCTGGCGGCTCTACCGCAAGAGGGTGACTTTGATCCAGAGCCTGTGGCGTGGCAAGTGCGCTCGTCGAGAATACAAGCAGATGCGAGAAGAGGCCCGCGATCTGAAGCAGATTTCTTATAAGTTGGAGAACAAGGTTGTCGAATTGACCCAGAACCTAGGATCGGTGAAGGAGAAGAACAAGAATTTAATCTCGCAGGTGGAAAGTTACGAGGGCCAGCTCAAGTCGTGGAAGAACCGCCACAATGCGCTCGAGGCGAGAACCAAAGAATTGCAAACGGAGGCCAACCAAGCAGGCATCGCCGTCGCCCGCCTCCAAGCCATGGAAGACGAAATGAAGAAGCTCCAGCAAGCATTCGACGAGTCGACTATGAATATCAAGCGTATGCAGGAAGAAGAACGCGAGCTCAGGGAATCACTTCGCCTAACCAGTTCTGAGCTAGAAGCGACCAAAGAGACCAACCTGGAGCGCGAGAGGGATAACATGAGCCTTCGACAGGAACTGGAGGCGCTTCGGGATGCGCTGGAGCTCGCGAAGCGCAACGGAACGCTCAATGGCGAAATCACGAATGGTGTCGGCAGCGCGCCGGCCGTGGCCAGTGGACTCATCAACCTCGTCTCATCTAAGAAACCGAAGCGCCGAAGCGCTGGCGCGGAGCCTCGCGAGCTGGACCGCCTGAGCGGAACTTACAACCCCAGGCCGGTGTCCATGGCCGTCACCGGCACCACTCATCGCCAGAACCTGTCAGGAGCCACATTCATCCCCGGGGTCGACAACATTGAGATGGAGCTCGAGAGCCTGCTCGCCGACGAGGACGGCCTCAACGAGGAGGTAACCATGGGCCTGATCCGCAACCTCAAGATACCCTCTCCCAACACAAACCCTCCCCCCTCGGACAAGGAAGTCCTGTTCCCGTCCTATCTCATCAACCTGGTGACGTCGGAGATGTGGAACAACGGATTCGTCAAGGAATCGGAGCGCTTCCTTGCCAACGTGATGCAGTCGATCCAGCAAGAGGTGATGCAGCACGATGGTGATGAGGCGATCAACCCCGGCGCGTTCTGGCTGTCCAACGTCCACGAGATGCTCTCCTTTGTCTTCTTGGCGGAGGATTGGTACCAGACACAAAAGACAGATAACTACGAGTATGACCGTCTGCTGGAGATTGTCAAGCACGATCTTGAGAGTCTCGAGTTCAACATTTACCACACCTGGATGAAGGTTTTGAAGAAGAAGCTGCAGAAGATGATTATTCCCGCCATCATAGAGTCGCAGTCGCTGCCGGGCTTCATCACCAATGAAAGCAACCGGTTCCTCGGCAAGCTCCTACAGTCAAACTCCGCACCGGCATACAGCATGGACAACCTCCTCAGTCTGCTGAACAGTGTCTTCCGGGCCATGAAGGCGTACTACTTGGAGGACTCAATCATTACACAGACCATCACGGAGCTGCTGCACCTTGTTGGCGTAACCGCCTTCAACGACTTGCTGATGCGCCGCAACTTCTTGTCGTGGAAACGAGGGCTGCAGATCAACTACAACATCACTCGCATTGAGGAATGGTGCAAGAGCCATGACATGCCAGAAGGCACGCTACAGCTTGAGCACTTGATGGTATGAGAAAACCACTACTCAGCAACGTTTTGATGTATCAAGAATGCTAACGCCCCTGGCCTTTTTTAGCAAGCCACCAAACTGCTACAGCTCAAGAAAGCGACCTTGAATGATATCGAGATTATTCAAGACATTTGCTGGATGTAAGTTTTATCCTCGTGGTCAATTCTCTTACGCGCTGATCCACCTTTGATGCTAATGGTAAACTTCAGGCTCTCGCCAAACCAGATTCAAAAGCTGTTGAATCAGTATCTTGTTGCCGACTATGAGCAGCCTATCAACGGAGAGATTATGAAGGCCGTTGCCTCTCGGGTTACCGAGAAGAGCGATGTCTTGCTGTTGCAGGCGGTCGACATGGAAGATAGCGGTCCATATGAGATTGCAGAGCCCCGTGTCATTACGGCGCTCGAAACATATACCCCATCATGTGAGTCCTGCAACGCATCAAGGCAAGAGAATGGCGGCTAATGACCCATGTCTAGGGCTACAAACACCTCGTCTGAAGCGGCTAGCAGAGATCGTCTCAGCGCAGGCTATCGCGCAGCAAGAGAAGCTTGAGGCTGGCGATGTTGATGGCTTCGACGGTCATCAGCAACTGGCCGAGGTCGAAGAATCCGAGACGGAGCAGTGAGCAGCGTCGTTGCAAGGCTGTCCATGGACGGGGTGATGCATCACATTAGAAGAGAGGGCTGTCAAGACGTCTAAGCGGCTAGCGAGTGTTGCTTCATAGGGAAAAAAAGAGGTTTCTGTCTTGTGCTGCAGCACAAACAACATATACTTGGGGGCATTTTTCTTTTTATGTATAGAGCGGAGCGGATTTAGTTCCTCCCTATTTAGGCAATTGCGCGGTGTCCGCTGGTATCAAATGAATAATTATGAAGACGAGGGAGTGATTCATTTCAGCAAGAGGCAAAAGAACAAGGAGAAGGGCGAAAGAAGACATCATAAAGTAGAACGAAAGATTGTTTTAGAGGGGGTTTTATTTAGATCAAGGTGCGCGAAGAGGGTGGAGTTGGCCGCCGTGTTTTTGCCTCTGGTTTGGGCGTTTGCACCTCTTTTTTTTTTTTTCTTGCCCATAATTGTAAAGCTACTACTAGTATTATCATTCCATCTCATTCTTCTCAACTCATATTCTCCTCCCGCTACTCAGGCAAAAATACATGCTATAAAGTATAAAAAAACATCTGCAGTCACAAACAATGCGCTCAGCACCAAACATCATCATCACCGGCACGCCCGGGGTCGGCAAGACAACGCACAGCGAGATCCTCGCCGAAAGGACGGGCCTGCGCCATCTCTCGGTAAACCAAGTGGTCAAGGACAAGGAATGCCACGAGGGCTGGAGCGACGAATATCAGAGCTGGATCGTGGACGAGGACAAGGTAAATAAATAACTGATACATCCCATCAAGAGGCAAATCTCTTCCTCCTTTCATCCAGATATGGGCTGCCAAAAAAAAAAAAAAAAAAAAAAAAGGAAACCCCCCCCCAGGCTGACCATCGATATGCAAATTTCTGAAACAAAACAGCTTCTGGATGTCATTGAAGACGATGTCAAGGCAGGGGGCTGCATAATCGACTGGCACGCCTGCGACCTGTTCCCACGCAGCTGGATCGATCTCGTGGTGGTGCTGCGAGTTGATTCCAAGACGCTGTACGACCGTCTTGAAGCCAGGTAAGAATTTTTTTTTCTCTTTCTTTCCCATCGTCTTCTTCTCTCTCACTCAAGTCGTTTTTATCTTCCCCCGAGCTCTCATGTACAGGGGATCTTTCAGCGCTGACAAGACTTGCCTACTCTTTTTCTTGGAAACCTTTCAGAAATTACAAAGAGGCCAAGCTCCAGGAAAACCTGGACTCGGAAATCATGGAGGTGCTGCTGCAGGAAGCGCGCGATGCGTTTGACGAGGAGATTGTGGTCGAGCTCACGAGCAACAGCTCAGAAGAGATGGAGTCCAACATTGACCGCATAGAGGCCTGGATCAAGCAGTGGAAGACGGACCACGCCGACTGAAAGCGCAATGGGCTCTTAACACACAAATTTTCTTATCATCTCTATTACTATATATCCAGCAGCCCAGAACGATTTCCCAAGGCTACGCCTCTTTATCTACTTGAGCCACCATGGGCGACGAAAAAGGACGTCAAGCATGTATATACGGCCCTATCCAATGTGCGCCTTTTGGCGGTGCCTGCGCGCAAGATGCCATGGCGACATCGGCATCCCCTACATTTCGCAGAGATTGCCTTGCGCTGGCCGAGACGCGGCTTTATCTAGTCTATTATGTCTTTGTCTCTCCAATATAGGTCGGACGCATGTATAATGCGCCATGCAAAGCCCGCACTCGCGGGATTATAACGCACCTCCCTTCCTCAATTCTTCCTGTATCACCTTGTATTGCTTCCGTTGCTTCGCGTGCCCGGTGATCCACTTGATGACCACGCCCAGGCCCCTTGCAAGTGGCAGTGAGAGCATCTTCTCATACACCCAGGCCACGGCCAAGAACATCAAGCCCAACAGGACCAGGAACAGGCTGTAGCTCCTGCTCATGCTGCTCAGTTGCATCAGATCAAACAACCAACGGGGTGGGCCCGCAATCATGTATACGGTTGCTGCTAGGCTTAGAACGATGGTTGTGATGAATGGCCCTGCAACGGTGGTCAGATTGGTCGATACTCCATCTCAGATAGCAATGGCTATTGACACTCACAGTTCTCCCATAGTGGATGCCTGAACGGATGCCCTGCGTTGAGGATCACTCCAGAGAAGATGTATTCGAAGCATGAAACGAGGAACAGCGCGGTGTTCTCCGAGCTTGTGATGCTGGTTTCGCCATGCTTCAGCTCCGGTGGTGTGTACCAAGGCTGTTCTCGAACGGTGACATATGCTATGGCTTGGATCGCTATGCTGATGCCCATCAACCCGAGCAGAGGCACAAGGACCTTGCGCGAGACGAGGTCCGCGGTTGGTCGCTTCCGACAGAGCTTTTCCGCAGGCCCAGCCCAGCCCATGAAGACGGCAATCGGAAGGATGAGGAGAAGGTCGATGAAAAGGAACTGAAAGTCTCCCAGGTTTGACCCTTTCGAGTAGAGGAAGCTAACCGAGGTGAACTGTATCGCCGAGTACAGACTCATGTACTTGAAACAGCTGAAGCTCGTCACCAGAGCTGCCCGTCCCTCCCTACCAGCAAGTCAGTAAGGAGAAGACACATGAGGGACAAGGGGCTTCCAACTTACCGGATGACTTCTAACACACACCGAATATCAAAGACCTGGGAAGTGAATGGCGCGGCTACCGAGGCCTCGGCTTGCGACAATGAAATGCCCACATCTGCAGCCTTGAGAGCGCCACAGTCATTCGCGCCGTCACCGCAAAAGCCGCAGGAATAGTCGATACTTTGCAGCTTCTCCACCAATTCGTGCTTTTCATCTGGAGACATCCTGGCGAACACTTTTCCTTTCACGAGCATCTTGACAACTGTTAGGCAAATCTTTTCCCCTTGAGCGACACGAGACAGGATCAACATACCTTGGAAACAATGTCCGCTGGGGCATAGTCGATTATCCATCGAAATACCTCGCCGCTTACAGCCAGAGAATAATTTTGCATGCTGGAGATGTCGTAAGGAAGGGAGATGTCGCCTTCTGGCGGCGCTGGAAGCGGCTGCTCATAGTTAGCCCAAGTGCTAAGCAGACGTCAATATAAGATTGGACTTACAGTCAGATTTGTCTTGTCGAGGCAATACATGCTGTTATCGATGCTCTCCCACTGCAGCTCTGCTGTGGGATCCCGAGAGTCGCCTATGTAGTATTAGCATTGTTTCAGGATATGTTTAGGGATTGCGTCCGCTGACCCTGAAGAAATCGAGGTACGAAACAGTGCGCGTGGCGGTCGAGAAGGCCGCATTCTCTGGCAACGCTAACCGCCGTGAGGATGTTGTCGCCTGTAACCATCACAGTGGCAATGTTGGAGTCTTTGAGCTCCTTCAACACTTCCGCTGTGCTGGGCTTCAGCTTGTTCTCGAAGATGATGAAGCCGATGAAATCGAGATCTCGTTCAACCTCTGAGCGGGTCATCTTCTGCGCCTTCACCCAGCTAAGTCGGTTAAGATGTCGTGTAGCACATCCGATGACGCGGTAACCCCCGTGAGTGTAGAATGAGAGCAGCTCATCGTAGTCCTTTGGAACTAAATGGTGTCAATTTTGTGTCAGACGTCAACATGAGAAGTCTGCAACTCACTGCTTTCAGGCCGGCATATTTCTCGCATAGCTTCTGGAGCGCCTTTGACGAAGATATCACCGTCTTTTCTTCCAAAGTGCCTCACAATAACGCTGGATCTTCGCAGCTGCGAGACAAACTCGAACGACTTGAGGACGCCCAGTTGGATGGATTTCTAACATGCTTTGGTCAGTTTGCATTTCTCATGAGATACGATCATCAGCTACTCACATCAGGGGGAGAGGCAATTGAAGGCGAAAGACTCCCGTACTCCTCGTCCTCGCCTTCCATGACATTGTGCTTGCCCTCTTCAAACGACCAGCCCGTGAATTCGAACATCTTGAGGTCCAGCGGATCGCCCACGAGCTCGCCATCAACGGAGCGAAGGGAATGGCAAGTTGCCATGGCATGAAGAGCGGCTTGTAATATGGCCTGGGAGGAGGCGCTCGTCTCTCGCTGCTCAAATAGCCGGGGCTCTGAAATGACATCGCTAAACTTATGTTCATCCACTGAAACAACCCGGACGCCAAGGACGTCCAGGCCGTCTTCTGTGAGCGTGCCTGTCTTATCAAAGCACATGATGTCCAGCTTTCCGCCGACATTCACCCTCTGCGGACTGATGCAGAAGATCTTGGCCTTTTTCAAGCGGGCGAGAGCAAAGTTGGTGCCAATGGTCAAGGTTGCAGGCAAAGCCGGCGGCACAACGATGGTGATGAGGTCGAGGGCACGGACAATGATCAGGTGCCACTCTAGCTGCAACCGAATGAAGTTGACGAAAGAGGCGATGAATCCAAGCAGGGCAACAACGGCCATGACGCTGATATATCTGAACGAGTCACGATAAAACTTGAAGCCTGAGGGTTTGGGAAACAACATGGATCGCACGAGAGCGCCCTTGGTGGTACTGAACCCAGTCCGGACAACGAGCGCCAGGGCAACCGCATCGCCTCCTGCATCTTCCTGGGGGCGCCTCGCCCGGATGATTTTCGTCCCACAGAAGAGGAAGTGGCGCGCAACTTCGGGAGAAACGGTCGACGCGGTGAGGTCGAGTTGTGCCAACGTATGATCGTTCGCTGGAGCCTTTGAAACAGGAACAGATTCCCCTTTGACTAGTTTAGCCGCAGTACCACAATGGATAATGTTATGTGAACATACCCGTGAGCATGCTCTCATTGACAATGCAGTCGCCTGTGAGCAATAAGCTGTCACTGGGAAGCTGGGTCAGGTTAGGGTCGCTGAGCTCGTAGACATCGCCAGGAATGAGATCGGCAGACGAAATGTATGTCCCTATGCGTGTATCAGTAGTCGCTCTCTATCAAGCTGGTTGAGGCGCTACTTACAAAACCCGTTCCGCAGCACTCGGACGTCACATTCAAAGCGGGAGATTTCGCGCAGTCGTTTCATTGTCTTCAGAAGTCAGATACACACGCCAGTTTCGGTTGGTCGGAGAGTCGGGACTTACTGCTCGAGTTTCAACGAGCGTCGTCGCTATGCTCCCAACAGACATGGCAAAGATGCAGATGGCGTAGTAGTAGTATGAATCCAGTGACCAGAGAATGATACTAGCGATCTGGAATATGTAGAAGGGATGTAACACCTGGGTGTATCGTTAGCTGGCTACAACTATCAACACGGAGGGTAGTCGATGGAAGTCGGCATTTACCTCGTCAACAAGCAGCTGGCTCATAGATTTCTGCTCTATGTCGATGAGGTTGTTGCCAAAGAGGATTTCGCGGATCGATTTTTCATCGCTATCGAGACCAGCGCGCACGGCTTTCATATCAGTCCAGCTCGGATCCTTCCAGCCGCTGAATAGAACGAATTTGTCCTTGAGAGGGTGATAGCAGAATCGAACGTAGCGGTAGTTGAGCGATCGAAGGTCATCAACGACGGGATCAGTCTCGTCATCCAGACCATAGGCCATCGGCTTTTCGGGAAGCCCAAACATTGAGGAAAGAGGCTGGCCATAGTCCTGGACTCGCACTTGTGAGATCTCCATCTCGCCCCATTGGTTCTCTATAACCACCCAGCTGCAATCCCTCAGTGGGCAACTCTGCCCCAGGAGAGCGATGTACAGTCTGGGGAGCCAACGGAAGACCAAATACGCAATGCCTCCGGATAGAATGCAGAGGATCAGATAGGCGACGTAGCCCGTGGTTCTTGTGCGAAATCCAGCAATTGCAATAGTCAAATCTTCAGTCTCCACGTAGATCTTTTGGCTTGTGCGGCTGAAAGGATGTGAGCTGCCAGTCGTGACATTGCTATCCCTGCGAAGAAGATGGGCGTTCACAGAGTTACGCGATAGTGTCGAGGAGCATCGATGGAGCACATAGTCATGGTTATAGGCCAAACTGTCATCGTCGACTGAATGATCGTCGTCCTCGTCGTCGTCTATCACCGCTCCGGCGAAGTCCTGGATATCTGCTGGCCAAGATTAGTACTACAGAGGCCATTGCAAATATGCCCGTGGATACCAGAGGTTTTCGCACCTCTGTCAATGCTCGGCTCATCGTCCTCGTAATATAGAAAGCTGGTCGTGGAATCGGCTCGAGACCGGCGATGAGAGAAGGCCGAGATACTGCTTGGAAGGCTTTCGGCGATGGGGCCAGAAAAGAGCTTCAAAGGCAAATAGTTAGCCAGTTGGTCATGGCACCAGGAACGTGCTCTACCAGAATGTGCGCTCACCTCGTCGTGGGCCATCTCAACGTCGCCGAAGAAGCTACTCTGGTTGCTATCGGGGCGCAAATATGGAGGACGCGGACGAGCGGGAACTGCGGCTGGCTCTCCATTCGGAGCTGCCGATGCGGTATCACGGTAATCCATGGCGACAGCTTGTTCGAGGCTACCTGGGGTTCATGACGGGTATATTTAAGGAGAAATTCGGCTTCGAAGGACGGCGTAGAAGGTAACCTGATCCAGCACTTGTTGTCTAAATCATAGTTTGAGGCGTATGGCGTCGCCAGTGGAAGGATCCCGGGAGGTGAACAAGTCGCGTGTTACCGATCTCGATAACTCGATGCGCACCTCTTGGCCGCCAAGTCGCGCAGTTTGAAATAGCCCAGCCGTGGTTGGAAAGATGTCATACGTCGATCGCACATGAAGCAATCGCGATAACAGGCGCGATACCGATTAAGACAGTCCCGGCGCAGTACTACTACTGTACGGTACCTACATACTACTACTACCTAGGTACCTTAGATAAGGTAAGGCAGGGAAAAGCTCAACATGTTTAGCACCCCGATAGTGGATTGCTTCGGGTTAGATGCTTGCTTGAACCGATGGTACTGCGTCCAAACGGTTTGGTGATTTCTACTTGGATTGTTATACATATATCACGATGTTGAGAAGCCCTGCTAGGTAGATAGACTGCTTGCATTGATACAATAGCTAGTGAATGTTTGATCTCGAATGACAAAATGTCCAGTCCAGTCCTTCCAGGCCAAAGGCTTAATACCGACTGCTCGTATCATCAGTACTGTCTAAGACAATTGTCCGTGAGCTTATGATGCCAACAGCTTGGCTGAGTCATACCAAACTTGCTACCCAGGTGGGTATAAACCATTACTGCCTGCATAGTACTAGCACGCTTCCCGATAAGCGGTATCGATGCAACGATGACTGCACCAGCGCCGAGTACGTACCGCCTTTTCGCCCTGCACTCGGAGGGCTTCGCGCCCGTTTCCAGTTGACGCGCCTCAGGCCAGGCCTTGCTCCCGCTAGTTAAATTTTCTCGAACCTGAGGCCCCACCACCTCTATTAGCCACCGCCAACGCCTCCTCGTCCAAAACTTTCTGCTTTCACATTTGCACAATCCCCAACAGCCTCAATCTCCCTTCCTTCCCCGTTGTCTGCTTTTCCGTCTGCCCAGCAAACACCATGGCTGAGCCTATTCGAAACAAGCGATCGGACGTGTCCACTGCGCCGTGAGTGACTGATGATGGCCTCTTGTTTCTTTCAGCCACAGTTGACGATGCTAACTACCCCGCCTTCCAGCACACCGCAGAACACGCCGGCTACCAACGCTCCCATATCCTCCCGCGCCCAGCAGCCCGGCGTGGCCAGCATCAAAGAAGGTAAATGCGTTCCCGATGACAGAATCATCTCAACGGCTCTCTCTAACGCGGCGATTTCTGCCTGTACAGATGACATGGAACGAGCGGCTGCCGCCTCTCTCCTGGCGCAAAACCCAAAGCTCGTGCAGATGATCCAAGGGCGGCTCGGCTCTCTCATTGGACAGTCTTCTGGATACATCGAGTCCCTCCCCGCCCCCGTCCGCCGTCGGGTCTCGGGCCTGCGAGCAATTCAGAAGGACCACGCCAAGCTGGAAGCCGAGTTCCAGGAAGAGGTGCTCCAGCTTGAGAAGAAATACTTCGCCAAATTCACTCCCCTGTACGAGAAGCGAGCTGCCATCGTCAATGGCAAGGTTGAGCCCACAGAGGAGGAAGTCAAGAGGGGAGACGAGGACGAGGAAGAGTCAGGGCGGGATCAGGCCGAGGCCGCTGGCGAGGCTTCGCAGCCTGCTGATGACGTGTCTGAGACCGTCAAGGGCATTCCCGAGTTCTGGCTATCCGCCATGAAGAACCAGGTGACGCTTGCGGAAATGATTACCGACCGCGATGAGGCCGCCCTCAAGCACCTCGTTGACATCCGAATGGAGTACCTTGACAAGCCCGGCTTCCGTCTCATCTTCGAGTTTGAAGAGAACGAGTTCTTCTCCGACAAGATCATTACCAAGACCTACTACTACCAGAACGAGAGCGGCTACGGCGGCGACTTCATCTACGACCATGCCGAAGGCCACAAGATTGACTGGTACCCCGGCAAGGACCTGACCGTCCGCATCGAAGCCAAGAAGCAGCGAAACAAGAGTGAGTTCGACACTGTCTCAAATACTATGCTTGATCTGTCCGAACGCTAACAAATTTGCCCAGACACCAAGCAGACCCGAATCGTCAAGAAGTCGGTGCCGACGGAATCCTTCTTCAACTTCTTCTCCCCTCCCAAGCCCCCCACCGATGATGCTGATGCAGACGACGATGTTGCCTCTGACATTGAGGAACGTCTGGAGCTGGACTACCAGCTTGGTGAGGACATCAAGGAGAAGCTGATTCCTCGTGCTGTCGATTGGTTCACTGGCGAGGCTCTTGCCTACGAAGAGTTCGACGAGGATGACATGGAGGGCGGTGATTTCGAGGATGATGAGGACGATGAGGACGATATGAGCGAGGACCACGATGATGACGAGGAGTCGGACGAAGATGTGAGTTCTTCATTTTACCTTTGTGCCCATTCAAACCTTGCTTTCTGTGACGGGACTAACGGGTGACTGATGCAGGATGAATCTGGAAAGCCTAAGCAGGAGGCTGCCGAATGCAAACAGAGCTAAGCGACACAACCTGCCAACGTCTAGAGGCTGGGTTCTTTCTATGTCTTAGAGGAAAGGAAATCGAGGGAAAAGATGCTCAAGTGGACAGGGATTTGAGAGGAATGGCGTAATCTGAGTTAATGACATCGCTACATGTTTTTTTTTGTTTCATTGGTGATTGTCTCCAAAAGAATGTTTATTTGTCTTTCGTGTACTCGGAGGCTTTCATCTCCATAATAGTAACAGGCACAAGGGCAACGCTTTATTTTCTCTCTCTCGATAGTTTAATTTGGAATGGGTTGCTCTTTGATTCTGAAACACGCACCGCCTTGAAGTATAATCGCGACGAGGGCTGTGTGGTATTTAGGTAGTACTGGTGGTGCTCTTGCTCTACATTCCTTAGGTACTGATCCAACATGTACTACTATGACCATTGGTGTATATCTGCGCATCTCGTAGCTCACATCCCGCCATTTATTTCACTTGCATGTCTTTCGAATAATGGTACCTTAGTTCGCCTCCTTTTTCCGCTGCGGGAGCGCCTTCTGCGCCGGAGTCTCTTTCGGCAACTCCTTCGCGAAGGGAATGAATTCTGGGTTGCCGGGCAAGTACTTCCGCAGAACCTCTGGCACGCGCAGACCCTACAGTATTGTTAGAGACTATCCTCGGAACCAGGATAAGAAGGGTTCCACCAGGGGATCGGGCGACTTACATCTCCTGTCTGGTAGTTCTCGAGAACACAGCATAGAGTTCGTGTGGTTGCGCACAGCGTCGAGTTCAGGCAGTGAACGTACTTCTTCTTGATGTCGGTCTGCGTCTTGGTCCCGCAGCGAATCTCAAGGGCTCGGGACTGGTAGTCGGTGCAGTTGGAGCATGAGACAAGCTCCTTGTATTCTCCCTGGAAGGGGAACCAAGCTTCCAGATCGAGCTTCTTGGAAGCAGCATCGTTGAGGGCGCCGGAGACGATGGCGACAACCTGATACGGCAGGCCGAGAGACTTGTAGAACTCTTCTGAAACGTGAATCATGTCGTCAAACGCTTCCCAGGACTTCTCCGGGTCTGTGAGGAGGAACTGCTCGATCTAGAAAGGGAGGTCAGCTATCAAGCAGCTACAGGGGGACCAGGCCTGCGCTATTACCTTCTCGAACTGATGAACGCGGTAGACTCCCCAGGCATCTCGGCCGTGAGATCCGGCCTCTCGTCGATAGCACGTGCTGTAGCCAGCATACCTGTAGTATTTTGTCAGTGATACAAGCATATTTGCCGGCCATGGAAGCCCGGGGCTTACTTGATAGGGAGCTCCTTGGGCTGCAGCCACTCGTCGGCGTGGAAGGCGGAAATGGGCTGCTCAGACGTGGCAATGAGATACTTGTCGTTCTTGGAGTCTCCATCCACGACCTTGTACAGCTGCTCATCGAAGTCGTCCAACTGGGCCGTCTTGGCCATGTAGTCCTTGAGCATAAACTGAGGAGCCTGCAGAGCGGTGTATCCGCGCTGGGAGAGGAACTCGAGACCATAGTTGACCAGCGCCTGGTTGAGGAAGACGCCCCACTGGCGGAGGAAGTATCCACGGTGGCCAACGACCTTGACACCACGGTCGGGGTCGTATCCGTCAAGGCGAAGGAGAACCTCGTGATGGGACAGGACCGGCCGCTTCTCGACGGTGACTCCCTCGGGGGCCCATGTTCGCTGAACGGCGTTGTTGGCCTGGCACCATTGTGTTAGGGGCATGTCATCTATAGTTAGTGGAACACCAAGCGGATCGTACCTCGTCGTTGCTCACGGGCACAGAGTCGTGGACAAGGTTGCCGACGGACTTGACCTTGACCTTGAGCAGCGCATCCTTCTCGGCCGCCGACTCGATCAGAGCCTTCTTCTGCTTCTCCAGCTCAGCCTTTTCCTTGAGCAGATCGTCCGCGTTCTCCTTGGCCTATGCATCGGGTTGTCAGCAACACTATTCATCGGCGCCGTGCCCAGATCTGCCAGTACCTTCTTCTTTGTCGCAATCTGCTTCTGGACGTCGTTTATCTTGCCATTCATCTGCGTTGCGCTGTACTGGGCTGTGGAGAGCCATGTTAGCACCAAGAAGCGCCTTTGGGACTGGAGCGAGCAAAGAGCCTACTTCGGCGGTGGTCATCCCACAGGGCAATGATCTCGTCCACGATGTCGACATTGGCGAAGCGTCGGCGCTGCGACTCGCGAATCTTTTCAGGGTCTCCACCCCGCTCGGCGATGAAGTCGTTGACGTCGAGCATGGTGGCAGGTTCTGGAGAGTGTCCTTTGGTTAAGTCGCTATTCGGACCTCGCGAGGCAAGCCGTCAATGTCAAGCAAACGAGTATGGAAAATCAGATCAAGATGTGACTAAATTCGACGAGCTGCCCATCGAGTCACAAGAGAAAATGGAGGGGTGCGCAAGGTGGGGTTCTGAATCTTTTGCGCGACCCTGGCCTTTGGGCGAAGTACTCGTACAACTACAGACGGTGGAGGCTACAGGGAGGTTGTTCCACTGAATCTAGCAGGTCGTAGTGCTGCTGCCACATACATACCTATGTACTGCTACCTACCTACCTACAACCACAATTGGGAGCCCATTAGCGGTATCCTCGGGCAAGAAATCGTGCTTCATCTCTCTTTTCTCCCCTATCAGCATCTATCGTCCAGCAGATGCTTCATCAGGAATCTATTCAAACATATACTCTTTCGGATCTCAGGCTCGTTCGGTTGTGTTGTGTTGAGGATCGTAATAGACTCGATAGGTGAGGCCGGGAACAGCTAGAGTGGGCAATACCACCTATCTGGGCTCATTCTTTGTCTTTACATATCGTACCTTAACCCGCGATCTCACCTGAGATTCCCACTATCAGCCAAGTATGTTAATGTTCTTTTTTCTTTTCTCAGATCCTGTGGGTTAGTACTAGTTTACATATACAGTACATTCACACACGCTGAACGACTGACAGAACCTCTTGAAAGCATTGGTTGCGGAGCTTCTCCATGCAGTCCTGCTAAGGCCACTGCAAACGGCTAAGATAAGATACGGGCCACTCGTCGGCAAGGGTCTTCTTTTAGAGCTGTCATATACCTCGTCTGATTGGACGCCGCTGCTAAGCGTCTGCAAGTCTGCATTGACATTGTCGACTGCCGCCCTCGCGGATGCGCCGACTTGCATCGCGGCTCCTTCGACCGACCGATTGCTCCAGCAACATGTGAGAGAGGTGACGACGACCTCGACGCGGCTTCTGGTGGAACGCTCAGACACAAACATCACCAATCAATCATCGGCCATGGATCCCCAGCGTCAGCCTGTCGAGGCGCAACGCAAGAAGATGGCGACCTACGGGAAGCTGTCTTCTCGTGGGCCGCGCGCGCATGCGACATCGCTTTCGCAGACCTCGTCCAAAGAGGCGACGCCCTCGCCGGCCATTCGACAGAGGAACGCTCGTGCGTCTCCGCCGCGGTCTGGTGACTCTTCGCGACCACAGAAAGCGCTCCAGAGTGCTGCGACCACCGACCGGGAGGCAGTTCGCAAACAGCGGGAGTCAGAAGGAGAGACGACGCGGAAACGGAGTCACCGATCGGCTTTTGGTATGGACCCAGGCTACCTATTCACGTCTGACACAGGAACTGACATGGCGCCCGCTCGAATAGATGCTAAGGATTCAAAATCGAACCCCGGCGAAACTGGCATCATCGACTCTCACGAGACAGCCTCACCGGCGACGCCACGGAAATCATCAACCTCGATTCGCACAGGCGTCGCTAAGCTGGGAACAGAGGAGGCAATACAAGCCTCGTCCGCGGACAAGCGGGTAGAGACGCCGCCGACGCGTCGACGGCGATTGATCGATGCGCTGGTAGCTGAAGAGACGGGCAATTCCAGTTCTGACCCGGGCCCGAACGCTGGCAAAGTCGACCTTGTCAGCAACAGCGAGCGTCTGCATGCGCGGGAGGACCGTCCCAGCTTCCGCAAGGAGGCTCATCTGCGCCGGACTGGCTCCGATAGCAGCGCGCTGGAGAGGAGGAAGATCAAAGTCACGTACAGCCAATCTCGAAGTTTTCTCCAGAGCTCTCAAGAGTCCAACACTGCTGAAGCCGCCGACTACCCTCCCCTCATGGCCGACATTGACGATGCGCCATTGCGACCGCCGTCTCCAGTAGTAGACGAATACGATGACGTTGACGATGATTTGAAAACCAAAGTTGCCATCAGGAGTGTGCACGAACTGCGACGAGCTGGTGCCAACCATCGATCGTCGGATGAGGTGGATGATCTACTGTCCAGAATCGGGACTCCTGGGTCTTTGGCATCAACAATGCGTAGAAATGGCCTCTGCGAGTTGGCCGATAAGCTACAAAAGAAGGAATTCATGAATCAATTTCGGGATCATGCATCTCGAGACAACATAGCAAAGGGCATCTCAGATGAGAAAGACGCCATCAGCGGATTTCTACTTGTTGCCATCCTGGTTATTTTTCTGTCGTCGAATCCCGCACCACACCTGCTTCACCAGTTGGCGGAGAATCAAGTGGGCTTGTTGTTGAACAGTCTCCTCGAAATACAGGAGGATGTCACTGGTTTCGCGGCACAGAAATCCGCCAACATGTCGAGAGCGTCGAGAAGCACGCTGGCCAGCGTCAAGAGCAGGCTGCTGGGTATGGACCTGTGGCATGGCTGCAAAATGCTGCATCTCTCGCCGCGCACCATCTCCCTGCAGCTGCTCTATATGTTGATCCGGTTACTGGATCCGCATGACGCCCAGACCGTGCTGGACGATGCCTCCACCAACATCTCGAAACTGAGAAGCTACTTTGCAAGAGAAGACTGCCGAGACGACATCGACTATGTCTTGTTGATTTGCATCCTCGAGGCGCAGTCCAGCACCGCTGGCGCAGCCGATGGATCAGCGACAAAGGTACGACAAGAGATGTCCGACATCGCCGCCTTTCTCCAACGCGCGCTCGACTGTTGGCCAAGGAGCCACAACAATATAGACGCCACATTGCTGAAGCTAGCCATCAATACGACCAACAATGAAGCAAGAGCTGCTGCTCTCCAAAACAATCAACTGCTGTCAAGCCTGGCCCGTGGCATCACGTCTGGATTCTCCGCTGTGCAGAGTGCCATACAGAAGTCTGCATTCGAAAGCAGCATATACGACGAGCTGGTACTGATACTGGGAATCACAATTAACATTTTGGAACACTGCTCAGACGCCCGGTCATCCATCCATGCAGAGGAAATTGACAAGCTTGTTGGGGCATGGTCTGAAAGCGGGCAATCAATTAAAAAGGTGAGTCTGATGACGAATGTCACAACCCATAACATCAACGCACGCACACCTGCTGACAGTTTGCAGGACGATTCCGTCGAGACGTCGAAGCTCGGCATAGCATACAGCTACCTGGCTATCATACTTGGATATCTCTACCTGGGCCACGCTGAGCTGCCGCTGCCGAGCGGCTTACTCCCGGCTATCCAGCACTTTATCACGATCAATAAGACGGTCAATAATAAAACGGCGGAGCTGGAACATCTTGTATATAGTCTGCGGAGGCTACGATAGCAGCATTCCGATGCCCCCAATAGAGAAACGTACTAGATACATGTTCCCCATACAATGCGTCGGTCGCTCGCCCGACTCAGTTATCTTGGTAGACTGCGGTAAGGTAGAACTGCCCACAGGCATCATCATCGAAATCTCAGATCACAGTGTTCCCAATCAGTGATATCATCGTCGGTACTGTATGACGAAGGCATCGCAGTCGCACCTTTGTGGGACAACTCTGTAATAAGAGATGCATTCTTGAAGGCTCGTGAGAGATATACCAGCGGAGATTGATAGCATGCAACATTCAACAACACGAAGCCAGAGCGAAACTCGGTCCAGAAACCCCCTCAACATCTCAACGCCGTGGACTTGCGCAGGCCGATACAGTGCGAGCCCGCCCGCCATGATTCATCCTTACAGCACTACTACCTAGTATAATCCACCGCCTACCAAAACAATGGAACCGGCTATTAATACGAATTGTCCCATGTGATGACGAGCCGCCGCCCCAAGACTCGCCGCCAATCCATCCCACCTGTGCGCGCCTGGACATTCCAAGAGGGCACAGGCAAGTTCCAGACAACATCATCATCGCCTCCCATCATTTCAGCCTCATCTCTCTTGCTCTCTTTTTCTTGAACAAAGCAACTCCGATCTTTCTCTCTCTCCTCCCACTCTTTCGTTCGTTCTTCCAACTCAAAACACTCTCCATAAACTCTCTCCCCAATGCCTGCCCTGAAGCAAAGAAAAGTCGCCATCGTCGGCAGTCGATCCGTTGGTATGTTGTATCGCCCTCACTCATCCCACCCCCCCCCATCCCCAGCGCGCGCGTCCCATTTCTCCGCTCGCATGAAGCGCCAAAAGAAGTCCTCCCAGACCTCTCACGATGACGCGATGATCAAAAGCAAAAACTAAAATCACGATCCTCCTCTTTTGCTAACCTGCCGCTGCTTCCCTCAGGCAAATCCTCGCTCGCCGTGCAGTTCGTCGACGGCCACTTCGTCGACAGCTACTACCCCACGATCGAAAACACCTTCAGCAAGACCATCCAGTACAAGGGCCAGGACTATGCGACCGAAATCGTCGACACGGCTGGACAGGTAAGCAGATAGGTGGAGGATGGGCAGTGACGGCAGGCGGTTTCTCGTCACGGGCGCCAAAGAGAAAACATGCGGACAAGAGGTTGAGCAGCGGGCTGACTTGGGGCATTGCGCAACCAACAACAACAGGATGAATACAGCATCTTGAACTCAAAGCACTTTATCGGCATCCACGGCTACATGCTGGTCTACTCGGTGTCGTCCCTGCCGTCATTCGAGATGGTCCAGGTCGTCCGAGAGAAGATCCTCAATCATCTAGTACGCATTTCTCTTCCCCCCCCGCGTCTTCCCATTCTTCAGCACATTCTTTTGAACCCCCCCGGGGCCCCAAAGAAAAAAGAGAGAGAGAGAGAGCTCCCGCTGACCGCATCCGCCTTTCACCCCAACCCGCAGGGTACTGAGTCCGTTCCCATCGTCATAGTAGGTAACAAGAGCGATCTCCGACCAGAGCAGCGCCAAGTCAGCCCCGAGGAGGGCAAGAAGCTAGCAGAAAAGTTCGACTGCGGCTGGACCGAGGCCAGCGCGCGGTACAACCAGAACGTGGGCCGGGCCTTTGAGCTGCTGATTGCGCAGATTGAGAAGTCCCAGAACCCTGGAGAGCCTCCAGCTAAGAGCAACTGCCGCGTCATGTAGCTCAAATGGCCCGAGCCCGAGCCCGCGCCCTCTTGTCCCCCCCCCCCCCCCCGCCTCCCCAAGAACGAGCTCCGGACCCCCCCCCCCCCCCCGCCTCCCCAAGAACGAGCTCCGGAAGACCGAGCCCAGGATACCCTCAGGAGACCGTTTGATTTTTTTTCATTTTCATCTTGTGTTTCTTCTTCTTCATTTTCTCTTGATCTAGAGTCGAGAATTCGTTGTCCGCAACAGGCTTTGAAGCATATACTACAAGAACTCGGTACTTGTCAGGGTTATAGCATTATGCTGCTTCGAATCCACCATCATGATTACGTCGCTACCTCCTTTCATCGAAAAGTACTGGATAAGTACGGACGGGAACAGGAAGCATATACAATGGGCATATACGACAAGCCATATTGTAACACCACTATACCATTTTACTGGTTTTTCTTGCGGATGGATATTGTTTTGAGTTGTTACCTAGTGTCTACCAGTAGGATCTAGTGAGTCTATCTGGACGGTCTGAATGAGAGCAGGGGCTGCAAATCAGCTCGATTTCAAAAGAACCACGCCTACATCCCATAAGGCAACAGCTCCCCAAGCGAGATACAGATCGTAGGTTCAACAGGAGCATAACGGCGCAAAAAAATCAACACCGCCTCAGCGGGACAGTCCTTGCCCGGGCAATCGTTCAGTGATCGAGGCTGTATTCAGCGTTAGCACATCATCCTACATATTATAGTGACGAACAGAGATAAGGCTTACTCTTCCCACATCCTGCCCTGTACCGACTGCAACTCCTCAGCTGTCAACCGCTTGCCAGAGGTGAAGTAGCCTTGACGAGTTAGTGACCTATCCTTCTCATGGTGCTGGGGGCTAGACTTACCGGCAGTGATCTTGGCGTCAATCTCAACTCTCGAATCTGCGGGGATGAGCTCCTCTGGGAGTTCCACCCTCTCGTGGATGGGGATTCTGTGTTGTTCAATGTCAGAGTGAGTGAGCTTCGTAGCTTGCATGAGTACGGCTTACCCCTGGCCAACGATGGCATCGTGTTTCATGCTGCCACACGCGTTAGAGCTTGCATCAAGTTAGAAAAGTGGCGGCCTAATATCATGGACTTACTTGCTCATGCTCAACATCCGATCAATCTTCTTGATGCCCAGCCAGTGAAGAATGTCCGGCATCAGAGCCTGGAAGCGCATGTCTTTGACGCCAGCAATGTTCTCTGTGCGCATAAAGTAGTCTGATGCTCGGTCCTCGCCTCGCTTGCGAGCATTGTATACCACTATCCCCCTTGTTAGTCAACGTCGTAGCTCCATGATACAGACAGGCGAAGAGAAGATTAATAGAAAGATCAGTCTTACGGTACTATAGAGTTGTTAGTGTTTTCTCTCACGCTTATGAATTGCAGGCAAACATACCTTGGTCACCTCTCCCAGAGCACGACCTTCTTTCCTGAAGTATATGACGACGCCACTGCCGCCGTTTTGAGCCTCCTTGACGGCCTCTTCGATGCCGAAAATCAGGTACGGCCGGCATGTGCAGATGTCGGAACCAAACACGTCACTTCCGTTGCACTATTTGCCAGTCAGTCTCTCAAGCAATAATAGCTACCGGGCCACGCCTTACCTCATCGTGAATCCTCAGTGATAATCGTACGGATTCGTCGGACATTTTCTCAGGATCGCCGAAGCAATACACAGTGAGGCCACCTGAAATATATGGTCAGCCTACTTTCTCCCGTTTTCCAACTTCGGTGGGATAGTCGGCAGAACGGCTCGTTACGTACCGATAGGTGGGAGGAACACTTTGATGTCTCCGCGAGTGATCAACTACTGTTGGTAAGCCTCGGCTGCATCCACACTGGTATTGGGTTACCGTTTACCTCAGGGTAGCTCCCCCCGGTGTGCTCGAACAGTGAACGACGCAAAGTGGCCTCATCTGCAGCTAATTAGTCTCTTGCTGAGAGGAAGTCCAAGCTGCATGTGCTCACCGATTCCAAATCTCTCCGCCACACCGGGGAGGTACCAGACCTAGACGCATCAGCACTTAGTGTTACTGCACCGCTGTTTCTCGAGGCTTCATCCATACCGGTTCGACGGCAAACTTGGTCACAGCCAGCTCTCCAAGGTTGTTGAGGCAGACTTTTCCGTCGGGGACTCTGCATGATGAATTAGCCAACACTTGAAAGAAGTCGTCGTAGCTATTCGGCGACGTACAGTCGGCCACTTTTCACGCTCTCCTCAAGCTCCGGCAGCTATGATTTCCATGGTCAGCGTGATAGTGCGTAGCAGAGGCCCGGATTGGCGCCCACCTTCATGTGAGCCTTTGTAATGGCAATAGTTGGCCGCATGTCGACTAGAATGTCCATGAGTAAAGAGCAACTATCTCGAAGCGGGTCGTCTCATACCATTTTCCTTTTGTATGATGTCCTTGAAGGTCCATGGGACGAGGTGACCCCAAGGATCCATGGCGACAATCTTCTTCTTGTCACCCCATTGGGGGAAGGGCCCAATATTAGCAGCCGGCTCGGTGTTTGTGTAATCGGGCCTGGTAAGTCTCAGAATCTGGAGAAGAATGCCAAGGGTTTACTGTCTGCTGTACGGACCTGTGATCAACGTTGAGCTCCTTGCTGGCAACAGCCAGCGCATAGTAGATCGAGTACGAGCCTCCACTGAATCTTGGTCAACACGGATTATCCTACTTCCCAAGAATTGGCCGCGACTTACTGAGCTAGACGAATCGTTAGAAGCAAATCTGTCAAGGCGGATAAAGAGTCGACTCACCTCCAATGGCTAAGATGATGTCAGTTCATGTAAGCTCATCCCACATTTTCTCACGCTGTAAACATAAATGACGAACCATTTCTGCGACGGATGGTAGAGGCAGCCCTCGAAACAACTACGGGCCCTCGCTTCAGCGGATCAGGGTTTCCCCAGTCCATAGGGAGAGGGTCAATGCCAATCTGCTTGGGATACGTCCTATGAGATCACAAGTGAATGAGATGGCCGGTCCGCACAACGTGTTACCAAGCGACAAGGGAAGACAGCACACACGTGAGCACGATTCGAGACGTGAAGCCGGTCCGGGTGCTCGGAGACAGAGCCGAGCCGGGCTGGGCCGTTGCCTTCTCAAAGGACGACTGGATGGCGGCCAGTTCTCCCGAGGCTTCGGCGTCCTTTGACTTGCCATCTTGGCTGCTCTCCGGGGCCAGGGAGGTTACGGGCAGCTTCGAGGCAGGATCAAGAGCCTCGGTCGAGATGGTGGAGGAGCTGAATTTACTGGTGAGGGACTCGACCGAGCTCAACAGGCGCTGCTGGGTTTGCTGGATTTGCCGAAGGGTGTCCAGGACACCATCCTGCTGTCCATCTGCAGCCATTGGGGCCGGAGGTCCGCTAGATCGGGATAGTAAGGCTGAAAGGGAGGGTGGTTTCGATGTGAGTGAAGTTCAGGTGAGGTTCCTGACGGGGACAAACTGTAGGATGGAGAAAGGAGGAAGTCGGACGGTGTCACACAAGAGGACCAAGAGGAATATAGATGAAGATAACACTATTCAAGACGAGTTCCGCACAGCTTCTGGAAAGGGGGAGAAAGACGGACAGACAAGCCAGGTTGGGCAGAGAGGCCTTCTATAGCAGCTCTGCCTGACCGACGTGACTGTGACTGACCTTACGTGACCCAGCAGACTGAGTACAAGTCGGTACCTAATCGTAATCATGAACCGCATACGGTATCTCTTACGTACCCCGCCTGGCATCTGATAGGCAAATGCAGGAGACGGGAAGCGAGGCGTTCGAGCCTAAGGTAAGCGGACGACGGTATCAGCTGCCCGTCTCTACGGAGTACATGCTGCTGCTATCTGATACAGGAGAGACAAGCCCGGCCGATGCAGCTGTCGGCTTACCTGATATGTACTACTTTGCAGGCACTACCCGCCAGTTCTACTTCGGACTCCCGGCGATAGCAACGTCATGTCCCCCAGCTACGGAGGACGGAGCATTGCTGTAGATCGTACTTCAAAGATAGCGGATAGCGGAATGCGGGGTTGCTCGCAGCAAGTGTCGGCAGACGCCGAAGAGCGGACCCAAAAGCCCCGTTTCGAACGCATCTACCGGTATAGCACTGCCCCACCCCAGCGCTGCAGCAGACGAGCCAAGGGCCCCGACATAACGATACCTGGCGCATGGCTAAGGTACGGAGTACATGCATCCGCAGCGCAGTATGTAATCACTGCGCGATAAGATAAGAGGACTTGGTCCCAAACTCGGACGCGATGCGACTCGCAGCTGCGGCACAGACGGTCGTTGCCCTCTGAGAGAACCACCATCGCCATCCAACCCGGACGCCATGGGAAAGCGAAAGTCTTCCTCCAGAAAGCCCATGGGGCCTAAGAGGGTGAGCAGGAGGACTCGTGCATGCGATATGCCCGTCTTGCGGAAACTGACCGGGACCGCAGGCTGATCCCTTACCAACCACGTTCACATGCCTCTTCTGCAACCACGAGAAGTCGGTCACTGTCAAGCTGGATAAGAGGGCGGGTGTTGGTCAGCTAGATTGCCGCATCTGCGGACAGAAATTCCAGTGTGCCGTCAATTGTTCGTCGCATCCAACGAGTCTTCACGCATGTTGAAGTTCTGTGCGCGCTAACCGCAGGATCCAGATCTCTCGGCTGCGGTCGACGTCTACGGAGAATGGGTTGATGCTGCTGGTACGCGCTCCTCGTTTTTTCTTCTTGATGATTGGGTCTGCAACTAACTTCCTTGGCTCTATAGAGGCTGTCGCGAAACAAGACGCTGGAGAGGGCAACACCGCCAAGTCATTCGGCGCTCGAAGGCCCTTGGAAGGCAAGACTACCACTGACGAGCACGAAGACAACGACCTGCACGATGACTATTGATCGCCTTTGCTGTATATTTCTACGAGAGCAGTCTAGGGCGTTACGGACTTGGGGATATAGACGCACACTTAATGCCGGGATCGCATCGAAAAAAAAAGCCATATTCAAATTGTATAAAATCGGTCGCCAAAGTCTCCAAGACCAGGAACAATGTAACTGCAGCAGGGTCAGCCAACAACACTTTGTGGAGGCGTGGTCATCATACTTCTTCTCATCCAGGCCCTGCGTACGGTTTCCATTAGTACAGGTCGTTGGAAAATGGCGATTCAGGTCGGCACTTACCTCGTCAATGAACGCCGTCACAACCTTGAGGCGAGGAAATTTGGTGGCAAACGTTGTTATTCCTTCTGGGCTGGCAATCAAGTTGAGGAAGAGGATGCGGTCTTCAGGCACGCCTCGACTCTTGAGGACCTCGACGGCCATTGTAGCGGAACCACCTTTTCGCGGTTTGTTAGTCATGGGGGGATATCATGCATGGGGTACTATTTCATTGGTGTGATAAAGATCACAAGAAAGAGTGGAGGAGTGGGAGTTGGAGTGGGAGTTGGAGTTGGAGGATAGCTACCTGTTGCAAACATCGGGTCCAGCAGGAGAACCCATCGCTTTGCAATATCCTCAGGAAGCTTGTCATAGAATAATTTCGGCTGCGCCGTGTCCTCATCTCGTTGAATCAATATCTTTCCAATTCTTACGGACCGACAGCAGTCACGTAGGCCCTGCTCCATTGCCTCTCCCGCTCGCATGATGGAGACGCCGCATATTTTGCCCTGGAACCCCAAGCCGTTGTAAGTGCGGCCGACGGGCGTGGTGATGGTCTTTTCAACGACGGGGAGATGGTTGAGGCCCTCCTCCACCAGTAGTCGGATGATTCTGTTGGAATAGAAGATGAAGTCCGCTCGATCGGTATCCTTGTTCCTTATCATGCTGCATTGCAGACACTTAGCACCAGGGCCGTACTGTACGCTGGAACCCGGCCAAAGGGGCCATCTGGACCTACGATAGAAGAGCAATCAACTGGGGAGTCTGCGGCAGGACACAGACGTTCTCGAAGGGCACCTCGTGAGACACCGTCGCAGTCGGCTTGTCGGCGACGGACCTAAAGGTCGGGCCAACGCACTGCGTCGGCGCAGCAGCAGGTGTCGGTTTCTCGGCCATGGGAGTTGAGCGTTTCTGTCAAGAAGAAGATTGCACTTTTGAAAAAAAGTGTCGAGATAGCTGCAGTTTGCTCGAAGCTACCCAGGTAGGTACATATAATCTAGTCGGGCTTCTGCCGATAAAGAAACCTTACATAAAGAGGGGTCCGGGTCTGGGTCTGGATCTCTATTACGTAGATGGACACTTCGGAGACCGCCGCGAGCATGTTTCTACTTGTAATTGCATATCTCAGGGCGTCAGAGCGGAATAGCTTGAGGAATGGGAAGCATTGGGCCCGAATTTAGGTGCCTGGCTAAAACAAGGGCGGAGCTACGGAGGAGAGAGACACTTCTGCTCTCCGGCCCTGCAGTTGTTTTCTTTGAATTAAACAAGGCATCTGGTCAGGAGATCAACAGTGAACACATGCAGTTAGTCAGCCCTCCAACTCGATGGAGCAACGAGGAGAGCTCCAGTAATTACATATTTCCATGGTTTGCAGGATTTACTTGTACGGAGTGATAGCAGAGGCATCCAGTCTGTGATAAGGACACGTACAGTTGCCCGAACCAGGTCCGATGTGATACGCTGCGACTTGAACTGAGTCACGAAGAAGAGCATCGTCTGCGACTTCAAATGATGATAGCTTCATTCCGTCTGTCGCGGTAGATACAGCCAGGTAAAGTAACTCGAGCACAATGCATTGGTAGATCGTCGTATCACATTGATCGCTCTTCAACATGGAGATGCTCAGATATCGTAGACAATACGGCTAGCCCAAATCTCGGTTGATTACATAAGATTGGTCTGCCACCATGTACTTTGTACTACACTCTCGGTCGCTCAACAGAGTGGGCCACGATTAGGGCACCCATCTGGGGCACACATCTTATCTCCAATTTTCTTTTTTCCTCCTCTTCCCGTTTGTCCTTCTTCCGCCCAACCGCACTCTCATCAATCCTCCCTTTGGCAAGCAAACCACGAGCCTCTGCCAAATCATCAACCGCCGCCATGCGTAAGATTTTCCTCATTCTTCTGAAATTCCCGTGACCGTTTGCTAACTCGCCGGGCAGCTCCCAAGTTCGATCCCAACGAGGTCAAGGTCATGTTAGTTCTAGCTGCTGCGTCGAGATGCATTCCCGCGAACATTCGAGTCTAACTTGCATCCTATAGCCACCTCCGCGCCACCGGTGGTGAGGTTGGTGCCTCCTCGGCCCTTGCTCCCAAGATTGGTCCTCTTGGTCTGTCGCCCAAGAAGGTCGGTGAAGATATCGCCAAGGCCACTGGTGACTGGGTAAGTTTTTTTCCCCCAAATATTTTACGCGCCCAATTTTGCAAACGAAGAAAAGGCCGAAATACGCGATGCTGATACAATGAAAAATAGAAAGGTCTCCGTGTCACCGTCAAGTTGACCATTCAGAACCGTCAGGCCGCGGTCTCCGTTGTGCCCACTGCCTCCTCTCTCATCATCAAGGCCCTCAAGGAGCCTCCCCGTGATCGCAAGAAGGAGAAGAACATCAAGCACAACAAGTCCGTCAGCCTCGACGAGATCATTGACATTGCCCGCACCATGCGCTACAAGTCTTTCGCCAAGGAGCTCAAGGGTACTGTCAGGGAGATGCTGGGAACTGCTCAGAGCGTTGGCTGCCAGGTCGACGGAAAGCCTCCCCAGGCTATTCTCGAGGCCATTGAGAACGGCGAGATTGATAGTATGCACCCCCCTTTTTGGCCCGCTGCACGGAATTTTTGCTAACCTTCGAAAACAGTCCCTGAGGAGTAGAGTGTCTGGTTCAGACCAACAGTCCCACTGAGAAGAAATTCTCGGTGTAGGGCGACACCAAAATAAAAAGAAACAAAAACGCCCAACAACAGGTCTCCTTTTTTGCTTGTCGTGATGTACTGATTCGTTCCCCCATATTCCCCGTTGCGGATTCGACACCGCGCCCCTTGGCTCACTCCGAGATACATCCTCACTGCTCAGTGGTGTATTTCTATTTTTGCTCAAGGAAGAATGAACCCGGCCCCTTACTCACCTCTATACCCTTACGCTCCGTGGGTATATTGGTCCTTCCAATTAGGCCAACATCCCTTTACTCTTGGGAATGTCGGACTTGAAGTGACGCGAATGATGATCGTTGATTCTAAGCAGTTGGCTGCTCTTTACGAAGAGAACAGGACTAAACTTTTCTCGAATCTACAGATAGAAGACGAAATAAAGAAATTATACAGATTAATCTCTTGTCCTATCATTCGATGTGCTAAAAGCCATGGCTTTTCAAATCATCTTTTGCTCCATGTTGAAAGATGTGTTCGTGGCACATATCAATGTGCCATTCATGGCTGCCCTAGTTGTCCAATCTGTGTGCCAAATGAAGGACAAATTTGACGCTTCTGAAAAGTTTCAACCACCAGTTTGCCACCGTCAAATAGCGAGATGCAGCTGTCGTATCATCCAAATGTTCAAAGATTTCGCCATTTTACTAAAGCACGACCCAAGGGTTGTTTGAAGTCGCCCAAGCGTCTACGCCCATCGCACACAGTAGGTGAAAGCAATCCGAGTGTTTTTTAATATATCATAGGGACATTACCTAACCTCCCTACCCGCCTATGGGTTGTTACTCCATGTAAAATGACTGGGAAAACGGCCAGGCGCGAATCTACTCGCAGGGCTTTCCTGCGCCTCTCATCTCTTCACACAATAACCCTTTTTCTTTAGACCTCATCCAAAACACGCTCCTTGAACTCCCGCTCAACCTTCTGGCCCTGGTCGTCGGTGCCAGACTCGCCGTGGAGAGCCATCAGGGCACCCAGGTCGAACTTGGGAGCCTTCAGCAGCTTAACCTTGCGGATGTGGACCTGGAAAGGAAAGAAAAAGTTAGCGATTTGGCCAGTGTGAATTTCTCCAGATGTGGCGAGAACCAGCGAGACCCTCTCCCAATAGCAAAACACGTACGTTCTGGAGGGGGTAGATGCCCTGGGTGGACTTCTCGATTTCGCGGCCGATAACTTCGGGAATCAGCTTGGAAACCAGCTGGGTGAGGGTGCAGCTGGAGGCCTCGCGCTGGATGATGTCGGTCATCTTGCGTCGGATGGCGCGGATCTGGGAAGAAGCAGCGTAGGTGGTCTTCTTGATCTGGTTGGGGCGTCGCTTGGTGAAGGCAATGGCGAAGAGGCGGATGAGGTAGTCATCGGTGGTCTTGACCGTGATGTTGGCCTCAATGAGCGTCTGCCACTTGCGGACGAGGGATCGGAGCTTGTCGGATGTGAAGTCAAGTCCGTGGAAGTTGGTCAGGCAGTTCTTGCCCTGGACCTCGTCGACGCGGAGGCGGACCTTGCGGAATGAGTGGTCCTCGTCCTTCTGGAGGTCGGCGAGAGAGACCTCGACGATGCGGCCCTTGAGAGCATCGTTGGCGTTCTTGAGACCGGTCGTCCGGTTCACCAGAGTCTTGCCGACACTGCAGGAAATCCGTCAGTTCCAAATTCTCGATTGCTGTTCCATTTCTGACGCTTTGCTGCGCTGCGACGCGACTCACTCTCGGATGTTGAAGGGGTTGGGAGCCTGTATTGTTCGCAATTAGCACTCGATGCAATCTTTTCCCTCTCCCTCGCGCCGTCTGAGCGTGTCCCAGAACATACCTTGATAGAGTACCAGTCCTTTCGGGTGAAAGGGTCCACGGTCTTCTTCTTGAGGCCCTTCTTGCCCTTGGAGAGTCTCTTGTTCCTGTTCTTTTTGTTGGCCAAACGGTTCTCTCGCGGATTCGCAGCATCGATACTCACTTTCCAACAGCCATGATTCCTTATCGGCGTACGAGCACTTGGGAATCCAAAGGTCTCAAGAAGTTGGTGGAGGGGTTGGAAGAATTTCAATTGTTGTGTGCATCAACCTGAATCTAAGCGAGCCAAACCAGAAAGGTACCGGGGCATATATTTTTCCGCTAATTCTGTGGGAATTTTTTCCCAGGTCCACAAGTCTCCAGCCCTCTTTGGCCCTCGCCCACGCTAAGGCACGAGAAGTGGCAAGTGCGAGACATGTCACGTGAGTCACGCATGCGTCGTCTTTGATTGAAGACAAAATCCTCTTATTGGCGGACGGCGTCCATACCTGCATCAATTTTGAAGCATGCCATGGGCATCTTGTCGTGGAATGTTTGTATTACTGCATCACTTGTCGCAGCTTCAACAGGTTTCCCAGGAAGGCTTCCATTTAACCACGAGTGCAGCAGACTTTACTGGCCGTATGAGGCTGCTCCTCCACCGTGATGGCTCCAATAACAAAGTATGTCTCTGACTACCTTACCTTATGTGCTGGTGGTAGGTAGTAGTCATCATGGCGTTCAGAGTCCGCATTCGAGCAGCATTGACGCCTCAATCCCAATCATGAAAGGCATTCCTAGTGTATCGTATGACCACATGCGCCATGAAGCCCCGTTTGTATCCTCATCTCCTCTTGAGAGTAAAGTACAGCATTTTGATAGAGCCGATTCGAGCAGCTGTAATCCTCTACAAGTGTACCTATGCACCAACACTTTATCCAGAGACTAAGCCTGGCCCTTCGAGAAGTGACAGCTTGGGATGTACATGTATGTAACTGATTGCTTAGGTAAGAAGAGATATTCTTATATGCGGGCCAATGGATACGCACGTGTTAGTCATCACAGGCCCGGACTGCGTTTGATTGCTCCAGACGCTTCATCGGCCGGCCATTGCATTCCGCATATCGCAAAGCAGCGACTATCGCATCCAATCTGCCTGGTAAGTTCCTCTCCAATGCCCTTTACATACCGAAGTCATCGGTGGTCAAACCCTTTGGAGACCAATGAGACACTGACCTTTACAACTCTTAGGTATTCCTGTCTGCGCATCCCGACGAAACCCTGCCTCGACAACTCGACTGACCTTTTGCTTCCCCCCCAGGTGCAACAGTAAACCCGCAGCAGCCATGGGTCCCCCGAAGCCTCCCGTCCCTCATGTCGCCCCGATCTACCGAGTAACGGCTACGGCCCTTGGTGCCGGCATGTGGTTCTGGGTGAGTCCAATGCCCTCTCGACGGCCAAAGTCCTGGCCTGGGCGCGAACATGTTCATGGAGAGAGAGAGCTGTATACTGACAACCATATCGCAGCTGATGTACCGGGCCAAGAAAGATGGTAAAACACTCCAATTCCTATGCAAATCTTCTATACGGCCGACTTCTAACGTCTGAAATTTCGCAGGCCCCGCATTGCTTGGGTGGAAGCATCCCTGGGACCACTAGACAATTCGACCAGGTCGAGGAACGAGATGAAGGACTCCGTCACTGGGATGCCAGCCGTCGGTCATAGAGGGATGCTGGGAGAGGAATAGCACAAGCCGAACCTTTTCAATATATATATCTACGTTACCATATGACGGCATATGCCTACAAGCCAACTTCATGCGCAGATTCTCGAACCATCTCTTTATTGACAACCGTCTGCTGGGCCAACGTCGTCAAATCCGGCCCGCTAGGATGCTACGGAGAAGGGTCTACTGGTAAGGAAACCGACGTTCCGACTGGCCCATCATGTCCTACTTCCTCTAGCCCCTATTCCATGCCCACGCCGAAAGTGATTGTGGTTATCATAGAAGTCCATGTACGACGGCAACGTGTCTGTAGAGGTGCAGGCAAAGTATATGTAGCTGGGAGCATTTCCCGCCGTAGTGTATCACTCATCTGAAACAAAGCTGTACATTTGTATATACCTACAGGGCTTCTTAGAAAGTCCTGGAAAGGGGACGATGCTGTTGAAACTGCTATCGATACCATGTCGTCAATACCAACCCGACTGTTGAAGCAAGCAAACTATGCCATTCCCATATATGTTTGTATCAAACTCAGAGTCCCCTCTGGTCGATTTTATTTACCATCAATAGTGTCCCAATATGCCAAAACTTTTGCGTAAACGAACCCGCCAATGCAGGATCTCTAGTAGAGGACTCTCGTCATGATGCAGGCTGTCGTGATCAGTTAGACAGTGCAACGCAATAACAGCACAAGGTTCGAAACTTACAGCTGAGGCCCTCCAGGCTCTCATAGATATCCTTGATCTGCTCATATCTTACGTTGCTGATATCGGCCATCAGGTACGCCAGCTGTGAATTACATTAGTGCTAAATCTCAGACGGGACGAAAGAGGCGCTCTCACATCTCCCTTGCTGTCACTGATCTGCTTATCGACGTTGTGGTCGCCGAGGATCTCGTTGACTGGTCTTGGTCAGCATGATACACTCTGAGGAGTGGGAAACACGGGACAAACCTTTACGCAGCACACCTGGTACGTTGCGGTGGATGTAAATGACCTGTCGCGGAAGATTAGAACCGATGCATGCTGCTGAGAATATAAAAGCCAACTTACACGAGCGTGCTCCGGCTCGTCCAGGGTGAGGGATCGAAGCTGGGCTTCCGGAAGGTTGACACTTCCCAGAGTGATACCTTGGTTGATGTAACGAACCAATGCCTCGGCAACTGTATTCTAGTCAGTATGCTTCAACTTCTTTCTGGCTTCGCGGTGGTGCGGGCTAACCTTCAACGCCAATTGCACGCTGTGCTTCCTCTGTGCTTCCACCGATGTGGGGGGTGAGGATGAGGTTGCTCAGGCTGCGGAGCTCTTCCGCCCAGGGGTTCAGGTTGTTTGTGAAATAGTCACCGTTGCCAGCGGGCTCGTTGGGGTAAACGTCAAGGGCGGCGCCGGCAATGTGCCCTGAGCGCATCGCCTTGACCAAGGCAGGGATATCGACAACGGTTCCACGGCTCGCGTTGATCAGGTACGATCCCTCCTTCATGCGGTCCAGCTGAGCGGCGGAGATCATGTTTCTCGTTTCGGGGAGATCGGGCACGTGGAGAGTCACAAAGTCTGCCTCCTCCAAAAGGTTGTCTAGTGAGGGCACTTGGCGAGCGGTTCCAAGAGCCATCAGGGTGACGACGTCATAGTAAATGACGTTCATGCCCATGGCTTCGGCAAGGACCGACAATTGGGAACCAATGTGTCCGTAACCAACGATTCCTAGCAATCCCGAGTTAGAAGACGACGAGTTGCTTCGGCTGCCTCTGCGGCTTGGGGCAAGAGGGACGGGCGAAGTAGAGCATACCCAATGTCTTGCCACGAATCTCCCAGCACTTTGCGCTGACCTTGTTCCAGGTGCCACGGTGCATTTCAATGGATCGGTCGCCAAGCTGGCGCGCCAGGGTGATAATTTCGGCGATGACGAGCTCTGCAACACTGCGAGAGTTGGCGAACGGGGAGTTGAAGACGGCAATACCGCGACGAGCAGCATAGGTGAGATCGACCTGATTGGTGCCGATGCAGAAGCATCCGATGACGAGCAGGTTCTTGGCTTCGCTGAGAACTCGCTCGCTCAGCTTCGTCTTTGAGCGGATGCCGATAACATGGATGTCACTGGCATTGGCAGAGGTCAGCGGTGGTCAACAGCAATGATCAAATGGAAAGGTCAATTGCAAGAGCCAATTGGCAAAAAGCCAACCGCAGCAGTCAATTCGCAACAATTGACTCAACGGTCAGCTGCAACGACCCATTGCAACGCAACAAGGACTGCTTACCGGATCTTCTCAATCAGCTGATCTTCAGGCAGCGAGGACTTGAGGGCTTCCACTTGATAGCCCTGGGCCGTGAGGATGTCACGCCCGGTCTGGTTGACATTCTCCAGCAGCAGGATCTTGATGTCCTGCGTGTTGAAGGGCTTGAGCAGCTTGGGCACGCTCCTCCGGGGCAGCAGTCCGCCGAGACTGGCCGTGGGCGACTGCAGCGTGGCGACGGGCGAGGTGGAAAGATTCTGGCCCCAGCTGGAGACGACGGATCTCGAGGTTGGGGCGCCGGGGTTGATATCGCGAGCGGACGACATGGTGATGGTTGACTGACTGCGTGTGAAGTGACGTTTGTCTGTGGCAGGTTGCGAGGTCGTTGGAGATGCTGGCTTATTTATTTTCTACTGCTAGAAGATAGTCGTCGACTTGCCATGACTCACTGCTCTCTTAGGTTAAGTAGGTCCCGACGTAGCATTTTCAAAGTACAAAAAATCGGGCAGACAACTTTTCTGTCAGGAAGGAGCCGACACCGGCTTGCGGCCAATTGCGGCCACTTACACATAGTCGGTAGTCATACGAGTGGCTACGGCCAGCGCCCCGGCCCTGAGTATAGTATCTCGCATCAGATCCAATGAGATGTCTGATAATATAAAGGTACTCTGTGTTGTCTGTCTACAGGCAATGCTATATTTTGTATATTTCTTTAAAGTGTAATAGCTTTGATCAACGAGTACCTTGGGCAGGCAACCTCCAATCGATAGGTACTAACGTGGAAAATCCCCGATGATGGGATTTCACATGCAAACAACAGCCTCGTCACACTGAAGTGGGCAAGGGATGATCATCTATCAAGACCAGGAGCAACCGCACATGATGCGCATGTGCAAGACGCTCTCTACGGAGATGCCAGTTATTGTCCGATATGTCTGCAGGTTCATGCTATAGCCGTCTAGAGAAGATTAAAAGAAAAAAGAAAGGCAGCCATCTCTCTGCAAGGCATGAAAAGCTCCGGTCAGCATCAGTACAAATTCCAGCTTCCAACAAACTCCGACAGACCCCACGCCAGGTGGGTGGGTGAGTTATATAAGCCGGCAAGGCTGGGGAGGCCATGCACCCCGTTTGCGAGCTATTGCTGCCGCTTCTCCGCTAGTGCTCCCAGAGAGATTAGGAGGACAGTGTTGGTGGCCTGTGATAGGGCCTCGATGAGGAAATTTTTCACTTCTTCCCTATTCCATCTCGCAATATGTTACTGTAATATCAACCAGCATTTTCTGGTGACGCTAAAGCAACGCACATCACTTCATGACGTCTTGCTGCTTATTTGAAAATTGCCTGTCAGAATAAGACAACTTGAAGTTACCGTAGGTACATGTACATGTAGGTAGTTTTAAACTTAAGGTACAGTACGACTAGCACGGCGATCCTCATTTCTAGTGGCATCTACGGAGTACTCACAGAATGCGATGAAAGCACTCCGGTTGTTCCTCTTATTCCCTTACTACTATTACTAACTTGACACCACATGTAAACATGCTTTCTCCCCTGCGCTCGCGGCTTGCGAAAGCCACTCCCCTCCTGGGCACATGTCGCCAACTGCGATTGGCCTCTTCAGCAAGATACCCTCAGGCCGTCTCGCCTCTAGCCTTTGACCTCCATTCGCCTGCAAACCCGAGCAAAGATGAGAAGACCAACCCGATCCTCTTTTTCCATGGCCTATTTGGGTCCAAGAAGAACAACAGGGCAATCAGCAAGTAAGCGGTGGTGCTCCCTCTTGTGCCGTAGTCCCTCGCTCACAACATCGTAGAGCCCTGGCTCGAGACCTGAAGACTCACGTATACACCGTGGTATGTGAAGTGCAAGAGATCATCCAAGCCCGTTCATGAGCAAAGCAATTAAACAAGAGTAAAAGGATTTGAGAAACCATGGCGAATCTCCCCACGATCCCCGCCACGACTACGTTGCCATGACCGAGGACGTGTTGGCCTTCATTGACCAGCATGGTCTCAAAGAACCTACTCTGATAGGCCATTCCATGTATGCTCATTTGAGACAGCGGGAAGCCCTGACAGCTGGCTGATGTATGTATTGCAGGGGGGCCAAGACGGCCATGTCGGTTGCCCTCCGCTCGCCAGAGACGGTGGCAAAGCTCGTCGCGGTTGACAACGCCCCCGTCGATGTCGCGCTGAGCAGGACGTTTGCTTCCTACGTCCGGGGCATGAAGAAGATTGAAGAAGCCAAAGTCACTCACCGGTCCGAGGCCGACGCCATCCTCAAAGACTACGAAGAGGTTGATGCCGCTGCTGCTCCTTGATGCGCTTCTCGCTGAGACTGAGACTAACCCGTGTCTCGCGACAGTCGCTCCCGATCCGCCAGTTTCTGCTCGGAAACCTGTATCGCTCCCCAGAAGACGGCATCCAGAGGTTTCGCGTGCCCTTGGACATCCTCGGTCGATCACTCGACCACCTCGGAGACTTTCCCTACAAGAACCCAGGGGAGGCACGCTACACAAAGCCAGCCCTCTTTGTTCGAGGCACCCAGAGCAAATACGTGCCGGACGACGTGCTGCCCGTCATTGGCCAGTTTTTCCCGCGCTTTCAATTGGCCGACATCGATGCCGGTCACTGGCTAATATCGGAGCAACCTGAAGCCTTCAGACAAGGTAATTTAAACAAACACCAAGCATACTTGTCTGGATCTGTGTTGGATGACTGACACACACATAACAGCCGTCGTGAGCTTTTTGCAAGAACCTGAAGCAGCGCAATAGAGAGAGAGAGGTGAGAGAGGATTAGACCGTCATAGAGCAGCATTTTAGACTAGAAGGTATTTAGACGACTGTAATGTGTATCTTGCGGTTTTCCTTGCAACGAATATACCCCGAACCCCGTTAAACTACTCTGAATGCCTACCACCTTTGTACATGATAGGTAGGTATAGTAATGTAGATTCTGCTTTCGGTCACAGTGTCAAGTTGCCGTTTGTGTTCATGCCGGATTGCGATGCTGCGACATCTCCTACTATTAGAAACCAAACCAGTCTTTCCCCCCCTTTTTTTTGGACAATAAAACCGCACATCTCGATCCCTTGAATGGGTAAGCTCGAGCACGCAGTTGTTTGTAGGTAGGCAAGGTATGCATTTCTTGGCTGGCCCACGCCCACACTGTGTACATGCAGCTTGCATGCCCGAGTAACGCGGGCTTTAGTCAGTGCCACCCACTCTACATCATACCTTACCTTCCCCCCCCTGCTTGAATCACCCAGCCTCGAGGTCCTTAGCTCAGCCCGTTTGTCACTACTGGACGCTTTCCCTTGCCTTGCTTGAAACTCCATGCTGCGTCTGCGTTTGCTTGCTCACTCCCAGGTAAGGTAGATACAGTACGACGCACAAACCCGGACCCGGTACCTCGAGAAGCGGCCTTAGTCTGGCAAGGCAGACGGGGAGGTCAGTCACTCACGTCGTCTCAATACCTGTGCCGCTGTTGCAGCTGCTGGGCCCCGTGCACATCAGCGCAGCGCCTCAGCCCCCGATGCCTGCCGGCGACTTCAGCCATGATGTGAACGACGTCGACATTGTTGCTCGTCCGCAAGTGCTTCTGCTTCTCTCTCCTTGATCCGGTCGACTCGAAGCCCGCCCTCGCCCTCGCCCTCGCACCCGCCATCATCAAACCCGCCGCCACCATCCCACCGTGGGCATGTTGCCCCTAGTGCAGACGCACCCGCGCGTGGTGCCCGTCCCCGTCGACTTCGAATCCTTTGGAGTACCCGCTGCCAGGCCCGGAGTCGACAGACGAGCCATCGCGTCGCCCTACCATCGCGGCACCTCTCACCCCTACGGCGCCCCAGGCAGCTCCGCTCCCGCCGGCCAAGGCTCGCGAGACCACGACTACCACCTACGCCGCAAGACGCCTCGGGGCACCATCGACGCCGGCTACGATGGCTCGCCGACGCAGCTGTCGCCCGGCCCGCCGCCGCTCAAGCAACTGATCCTTCCGACACCTTCTGGCATATACCCCTACGTCCCTCCGAATAACCTGCCCTTTCACGCCAAGTCTCGTCTCTCGAACGCCGATCCGATAAGCCTGGGCCAGGCTCCCGTGGCATCGCCGTGGTCTCTCAGCTATGGAGGTCCCAATTTCGTTCTCTCCAGCGGCTCCTCCATGGTCCCTCAGCCGGGTCCCTCATGGCAGCCATATGGATATCCCATGTTCAGCCAGGTCCCCGGCATGTACCAGCCGCTTATGAGGGCGGCAGAGTACAATGTGCGAGCGTTTTGTCCACCCCCAGCCTCTGCGCCTGAGACCGCGGCGTTCAATCAGTTTGGCTGGCAGCCCGGCGCCTCGCAGCAGAATCTTGGCTATTTTGATACTTGTCAGTACCCTGAACCGAGGTCCATGCTGCTCCCTGGAACCTTTCCACTACATGGTTCAGACGCCCAACTCCCATATAGACCAATCCCGGACTTCAAGGCCATTCCCGACGGTGCATTCCCCTCACAACCGTTGGTTCAAGGGGGCTATCTGGGTCAGAGCACAGTTGTAGAGGATGTTTCCGCCGGCGAGCAATATGCTGTCCAAGCAAGTTTTACGGAAAAGGTCTACTCCAAGGCCCAGGAGCATTACGTTGAACTGCTGGCCTACCTGCAAACTGCCAGGCGGCTTGATCAGATGAGCAGTGGCGGCAATCCTAGCTCGAGATTCAAAGTCCTGGTATTTCCAAGACCCCCAAAGTCTAGAAAGGAGCATTCCAATACTTTCCGAGGTCTGAATCGCAGCGTTGAGCGGCCTACTTCTTCGACCGTCATGCCGAATGGCCATCCTCGGGCATTGACGTCGAATATTGAGGATACCCTGAGCAACAACACAGGGCCACCGATCGGGCAAGATGGCCCTGTGGAGGCTCATCGGCCTCGCACGTCGGTAATGCAATTTCCTGCGCCATCCAATGTGTACACCCCGTCGTCGCCGTTCGGCGCAGTTGGTCCGGTTGCCATGGCGAAAGCACTACCGATACTAAATGCAAAAAGTTCGTTCGAGATGTTGAAGAATCTTTGTGAGCAAAGTAATTGGAAATGGATCGATGGGATCTTACTCGGTGGGTGTCTTTTATATGGCCTATCGCGTTTTGAGGACGCCGTGGAATGGTTCTCCAGAGTTCTTACTCTAGATTCAAGGTTCGACCTGCTCCAGATGAACTATCAAGTGGTTGTTCTATATCTGACTCAGATTATAGCCATGTCGAGGCTATCACGAATTTAGCCGCTACGCTCTATTGCCTCAACCGCCAAGAGGAAGCTGAGCAGCATTGGTTGAGAGCCATCAAGCTACGCCCTGACCATCTAGAGGCCACGGAACAGCTCGTCGGTCTGCTGTACAAGAAGCGCAGCCGGGAGGCGATTGACATCATTTGCTTCGTGCAACAAGCGCTGAAACTGACCGGAGGAAATCCGACCCGGACGAGCTACCCTACCCCGAACGATGACCATCCTCTCAGCCAACAGCCATCAAAATCCGGTGCGCCCTTTGGCTATCCTTATGAAACCGCATCCACGACGAGTAGCCATAGCACCAGACGCTCCGACTTTGGGTCCAGCGGATATGCGCTTCCCAACAGTGAAAATGGCAGGATCCTGGCATTGGTTCATGCCAAGGGCACAATATTATACGGCTTGAAGGATGTGGAGAGGGCCTCGGAAGCATTTGAAGAAGCTGTGCTGATAAGTGTTGGGGAGCGCATACGAAGCGTCCAAGACTTGGTTACCCGAATCCATGCTGTCCTCGCGCCGGCAGGATCACACTCGAATGGTGACCGGAGACCAGTCTCTCGGCGCCCCCTCTTGTTACCCCCTGAGAAGGCTCGCCAAACAGCCCATCTTGTATTTGCTGCGGGCGGCGGAGGCAGCGAACTGCCTGGGCTGGCATCCGTTCCCGAAGGTGCCGCTAGGCGGGTCGCCGTGCAAACGACGAGCAACGCTCTGCTCTCCCTGGCCAAGATCTTCCAGGACGCAATGTCCGGCGGGAGCACTGTTCCCAGCCTGCTGAGGCAGCCCTCAGGGATTGGTGACATATTGGCGTTGTACTATCTATCGCTATCTCTCCAGGAGAGCCCCTCTACAGCAAACAATATCGGCATCCTCCTCGCGGGCGTGCAGCAGACGGCACCAAGCAATGTCAGTGCACCTGACATGGTTCCTCCTCGTCCCAGTCTCCCCGGCGTCGTACCTGGCAGTGGCCTTGCTCTCGCCTTGGCGTACTATAACTACGGTCTTCGTCTCGACCCGAGACATGTTCACCTGCACACCAACCTCGGCAGCCTTCTAAAGGACGTCGGCCAGCTGGACCTCGCGATCCAAATGTACGAGCGAGCGGTGTCATGCGACAGGACATTTGATATCGCTCTGACCAATCTGGCCAATGCAGTCAAGGACAAGGGTCGCATCAAGGATGCCATTGCCTATTACAGGCGAGCGGTGGACTCGAATCCCGACTTCGCCGAAGCCGTCTGCGGACTCTTGACGGCCCTCAACTCCGTCTGCGATTGGCGTGGCAGAGGCGGAGCGCTACTTGAATCGGGCAAATATGACCGATGGCACGTTGACGATGAGGGCACCCTGGTCGATGTGCGGACGGCCATGCATGGCAGTGGCCTTACCCAGCGAGTGATTGGGATCATACGTCAGCAGTTGGATGATGCATCGCAATGGGGCCGCAACATACTGCAACAGCCGACCATTCACGGTCTGGCACAGCATCTCAGGGACTTCTGCCAGACTCCCGGGTTTGATCTGGAGGAAGCAATACGTGCTTGGGCTCGTCAACCGTGGGAAGGCTCACGCTTGGTTCGCCTTGTGGAACGGGCTACAAGGGTCATCTCGTGGAATTGGTATCATGACCGGCACGTCGCCCAAAGTGAGGCCACGCCCTCGCGTTACCTGCGACCTCAGCTGCCCTCATCTCTCACCATACCATCAGCGCCAACTGTGCTTCCTTTCCATACCTTCACGTACCCGCTGTCTGCCAAGGATATACGGTCCATCTCCCAGCGCAATGCAATGCGAATATCGGCCTCGACGCTTCGGGCCCCTTGGCTGCCGCCCACGGTGTATCCGCCACCACCTCCGCCAAGTCCCCATCTGAACGTCGGATACGTGTCGTCAGACTTTAACAACCACCCGCTAGCTCATCTGTGAGAATCATCATTCCCTCATTTCCCCCTTACCTTGCGAAGCAGTATACTAACACGCTTCGGCCAACCACAGGATGCAGTCCGTATTTGGGTTCCACAATCCTCAACGTGCCCGGGCTTTTTGCTATGCCACCACGCCCAGTGACAAGTCTATCCATCGGCAGCAAATCGAGAGAGAGGCGCCCGTGTTCCGTGATGTTAGTTCCTGGCCAGCAGAGAAGCTGATCGAGCAAATCGTTCGCGACGAGATTCACATACTGGTCAATCTCAATGGCTACACTAGAGGTGCTCGCAACGAAATATTCGCTGCTCGCCCAGCCCCCATCCAGATGTCTTTCATGGGATTCGCCGGGACGCTTGGTGCAGAGTGGTGCGACTACATCCTCGCCGACACGACGGCCATCCCGCCGAGCACTCTGCGCCCTTGGAGGAACAACACCACCATCGAAGACGTCTTTCAGGACAAGACCGAGGGGGATGAGGGCCAGTGGATGTACTCGGAAAACATCATATTCTGTCGAGACACGTTCTTCTGCTGTGATCACGCACAGTCGTGCGATGCTAATGAACGCGACATGACGTGGGAGGACGAAGAGAAGCGTCGATGGAAGATGCGCAAGGAACTATTTCCGACAATCGCAGACGATGTCATCATCTTGGCCAACTTTAATCAACTGTACAAGGTAAGTGAAACACGCAACACGCCCGTCTCTTTGGCCACCTAGAAGCATTGCTAACCCCTGATGGCAGATTGACCCGACTACTTTTCGATCCTGGCTACGGATTCTGGCCAGGACCCCCAAGGCCATACTCTGGCTTCTACGGTTCCCCGAACTGGGAGAGACCAATCTGCGACAAACGGCCGAAGCCTGGGCCGGGGCGGAGGTTGCTAGCCGGCTCGTCTTTACTGATGTGGCGCCAAAGAACCAGCACATTACCAGGGCTAGAGTGTGCGATCTGTTCCTCGATACTGCGGAGTGCAACGCGCACACCACCGCCGCCGATGTCCTGTGGTCGAGCACTCCTCTCCTCACCTTGCCTCGGTATTCGTACAAGATGTGCTCTCGGATGGCGGCGTCCATCCTGCGAGGCGCGCTGCCCAAGTCGGCGGAGGGTCAGCAGGCAGCACGGGAACTGATTGCGGATGGCGAGACGGAATACGAGGATCAAGCTACAGAGCTAGCCGGGGGGCTAAGTTACGTGATGACGAATGAGGGATACGGCCGGGGCACGGGACGGCTGGCGGAGATACGGAAGCTGCTGTGGGACAGCAGATGGGAGTGCGGACTGTTCAATACACGGCGGTGGGTAAACGACCTAGAAAGGGCTTACGAGGAGGCATGGCGGCGGTGGGTTGCGGGCAAGGGCGGTGACATATATCTGTGAAAGGGTTCAAATCTAGATGGCGCACTTGTTGTGGTTATGGATTGGGATCTATGGGCCATCCCAGTAGGCTGGGTTTGGGTCAGGGCATTTTGCATGGATTTTTGGGCGTTGCATATCAGGAGGAACGCAAGTACTCCGGATGCCATGGGAATTTTGCTATGTAAGTATCCATCTAGCTGGCTAGTGGGTGCCACGGGACAGCTGTATACCATTTTAATGGACTTTCGAACTTTTTTTTTCTTTTCTTTCTGCAATGCTTTTCCCTGGACGGCCCTGGTGTTGGTTGTTATGTCGTTTGCTCGACCGAATGACGGGAGAAAAGACGAGGATTGACGCGCTTGACTGGCAGGAAACCATGTCCAGGGCCAAGGACGACGTTTGCGTATGAGCAGATGGTACGAAGCAACTCTTTACATCACGATCTTATCTGGACTTTTTCCTCATCGATTACCACTCCTCTCCTCTCTTCTCTCCTTCTCCAGACAAGCCAGTGCTCAAGTGCAAAGCCCCTTTCTATCACTTATCCACATCAGTCTCCGTCCAGGGCTTCTCATCGGCCAAGCCGCAGTCCCCGTCCGGCTCCAGCTTCGAGGGCCTCTGGGGAGACGCCGGATGGAGGAGGACTGGGTCTTGTCGACGGTTAGGGGATATGGTGCCTTTACGGGAGGGATCCAGCAGGTTGTTTTCCGAACGGTGGCGCCAGAGCTGACGGGTTGTGTTAAGGCGGGCTGTTGTGTCAAAGTTGTCGCAGAAGGAGGCTGTATATGTATAGCCAAGGAGTTGAAAGCAGTTAGTTTAACGGGAGTTAACGGACAAGGGATATCCACGGGCAGGGGACCGCAAGCACGACTTACACGTTCGTCTGCCCTGGCCGTCCTCGACCTGCAGACGAGGGGGTCCAAGCCCAAAGTCGTCCTCCCGCTCAACCTCATTGTCATCCACCAAGTTGCCCCTGTCGGCCACCGCCGCCGCCGCCGCCCCCCTCCGAATGAGACTCCCCGACCTCGCCAGCGCAACGGCCTCGACGCCCCGGCCAGAGACCTTCTGGATGATGAGCTCCAGCCGCTTGACCTCGGCCCGGAACCGCGCCTCCTGCGCCGCCCACTCGGCGACGTGCGCCTTGCTGCGCTCCTTGTCGTCCTGGCGCGCGGCCTCGAGGCGGGCGACGTCGCGCTCCGCCCTGGACAGCTGCGTCCGCAGCTTGCTGTACCCCTCGATGACGTGCAGGACGTGCGAGGTGTACTGCGGGCCGAGCGTCGGCGGCGTGGGGGCGACCATGATGGCGGTGCGGAGGATGTCCGCCATCTCATCCACGGACGGCGTGTTCTGCAGGCGGTCTGCTTCCCGGACGAGGATGTCGTTGTCGGCGTCTGAGGCGGAGTGGTAGAACCCTACCAGGGGCCGCGGCGAGATGCGTAGATGGTGGGGGTTGCTGGACGACGACTCGAGGCTGTCTTCGCTCGTGAGTAGGGGGTGGTGGTGGTGGTCGTAGGGAGACTGGTGGGAGGAGGAGGAGGATACGGGGGTGCGGCAGCGTTGGCCGGGGAGGAGACGCATCCAGCCTGAGTCTCCCATTGTCGGTTGAGGTTGATGAGACTTAGGTCGCTGTGGAGGTCATGTGCGGATTGTGGTGATGCTGTCTCTTTGGCGTTGAGAGACGGAGCGTATTTGTTGTTGGCGGAGTGAAGATGATGTACGCGGTTGGGGCTCAATGTTGGAAGCGCTTGAAAGAAGCACTTGAAAGGATGAATCTGATGTGACGAGTGATGGAAGATGAAAGGGCAGGTACTAACGAGGCACAGCTTCTCATCGAGGGAGATTGTTTCTGCATCCGAGCGGTGAGTTGTGGCAGCTGGCTGGCAGCTGGAGGAAGTGAATATAGGGGGGCGAGAGGCATTGTGACAGCTGCTGGGAGCAAACGAACGTGGCAAGCCGTGCGTATCCCGAGTTACTTATGGGACACTCCTGAATGCAATTGTATGAATACATGGCTACTACTTTACTATCTTGAGTATACGCTTTGGGGAGGAAAAGGACTCGCAGTTGCGGACTCTGAAGTTGGGAGCTGAACATGAGACGCGCCCGTTATTGTTTGTTAGAAATTGAAGCCTCCTACCGCTGACCTTTATTTCATGCATCGGAATACAACTATAGAAGCTGGACATTCCCCCCCTTCACCAAACAGACTCTTCGGGTCTTATGGTAGTATTACATCGCAATCAAAGGAAGCCCCCCTTAAACGTCTTACTGGCAGTATAGCATCCCTCTTCATCCCCCTTTCCTCTGCCTTCTCCGGTCATTCGAGCCTCGGCACTTCCTTCACCGTGGGCAAGGGTCGGCGGAAGCCCGAGTAAAAGTGCTGGTGGGCATAAAAGCGCTTCGTAGATGCGGACATCGTCCTGTGCTGCTCCGGCGACTCATGTGAGTCTGTGAAAACGTCTTCTTCTTCCATGACGGGAGGAAGCAGCATCATCGTGGCCATGTGGACATGTGCGTGCGAGCTTCTCCTTGGCGGTCTTGTTGAAGATGATGAAGATCTCTTGCGGCGGCGACGCTGGCCGTTGTCTACTTGTTCCATGAGATATGGCTCTTCCTCGCTTCCTTCGGAAACACTCTGGAGACGATGACGACCGCGGCTGTGACGACGCTGTGCAGTTATTCGAGTATCATCATGTGTCTCTGAATACACCATGTCCGGATCGATGAGCTGCGTCTCCTGTTCTTCCCTCGGGCTGCCATACGCATTATCCTGATGTCGGCTTCCTCCAAACCTCTCGTCCAGTGTGCCACTACATAGCAGAGCGTTGCCATCGTCCACCACGAGATTCAGATCCCAAAGATAGGACCATGCACGATAGTGGAAGCAAAAGGTCGCATACGGCGCGTCTGTCGCGTCCTGTAGACTCCATTCGTAATAGCTTGCATCTTCGGGGTGCTCAAGGAGTCCAGTCGAAGGTGATCTGATCCGCTCGGATATTAGCTTGAGCGTTCACACGCAGCAACGAAACTGTCTTGAACCAAAGTCTCTCCCAAATCTCAGTTGGTCAACTTACATTATGCCATATTGTTCCTGGTCTCGATACGGCGCCAACTGAGGCGTGCTCCTCCTCCGACTCTTTGCCCGAAAGACTCGCACCTCAATGAGGCCCCCATCGTCAGCCGCAGCAACGGCATCAGGACCAGGAGCAAAGCAGAACGACCTCGACTCGATCCCACTCCTCTTGAGCAACATTCCATTTTGCTGCAAGTGCCATCGATCACTCGGCTCAAACAAAGCCCGTGAGATGATGCCTGATTCCGCCCCGGGCTTGATTCCGCAGCTGGTGATGCTGCGCCCGTTGATAAAGAGCTTGAAGTAGAGGTAACATGCCGGCTCTGGATGGCGATGGATGAAATATTGCACCCAGAACTGCGACCCTGGTGTAGAAGGGACGTAGACGGAAGCCCTGGGGGCTGTCTTTTGGATTCGAGGCGAGTCCAAGCCGGGAGGCGCGGCATCGAGGTCCTGAAGCTTGGATACGGCTTCGCCAACAGACGCCACGCGGACTGAAGAAGCATCGGGATGTGGAAACTCGGGCAGCTGGATCGAATCTGGCTGAACGACGAGGGACAGTTCGATTCCTCGCAGGCAGGGCATATTTGCGAAGGGAAGCTGGATGATAAGCCGGCGTTAAATCTGAAGCAAAAGGCAAACTGGCAACAAAACACAAAGCACAGCTGCCAGAGTATCAAGGGAGGATTGAGATAAGTTGGCAACTCTGGCAGTACCTATGCGCCCGGTGCCAGGCATCGAACGTCGCAGGGGGAGCAGAGCAAGAACGTGGACATGCAGCTGGCCAGCCAGCGAACGGACTGCCGGCACTCACTATTCGCTCACTGTGCAGAGTGCCAGCAGCTGGTAGAAATGGCATAACATCTTTCTGCTGCTGAACGCTTCGTAGTCCAGGTAGTAATCGTTTGTATCGAGCAGAATATTGCAATAGATTGAGAGATACCCTTTACCTTTCAACCTCGAGACACAAGGACAGCACACTGCCAGCGTCAAACCCCTCCAGTCCTCCAGCCTCACAGCACAGGATTTTTTTTGTCAATGCACAATCATCAAGAGACACTCCAATTCCGCCTGGTTTTCCTATATTGAAACTTGCTGCGCTATCTATGCGCGCCAAGGGGTTGTAGTTCACGCCGAAAAGATCGAAGCCTGCGCCGTGTCCGTCGCCTCAATTCCCCTGCCCAAGCACCGCTTTTGTATCCTCCGTCTTCCCCAGAAGCCCCAGGTTCCGGATCTGGCTCGCGCTCGGCGCATCGTCTCGAGCCGTCGCTGATTGAGCTCGGGCATACGCAGCTTGTAACGCCAGCGCTCTCGCATGCTGTGTATATCCGGTTCGTTAGCTCCCGTGACCTTGTCTCTGCCCAGCACATCTTGCTCCCCCAGAAACGGACCTCCTTCTTGTGATGCAGGCACTCGTAGTAGTCTTCCAGTACGGGCGAGCACTTCTTCTTGCCCGAGTCGTCGGAGGCCGAGGTGTTGACTACATAGCAGGCCATGACCTCCTGCCAGAAAGGAAAGCAACGGCCGACGCCTGGAAACGCAGTCAGTCAGAGATCAAATGTCTGGCCAGCTGCCCGCTGCTCCGGAGCACGTACCGCCATGCATGCCATATCCTGAAGCCATGATGTGCCGAGTCGTTGATTGTTGCGACTCCTAGGTTCGCCGTTTGCTGCAGCCAATGATGCTCGTCAGGATTCGGTACATCGGGACAGAGATTAATGCTCATTGGGGCGCTAACAGTAGTACTCAAGGGTGTCCGCTAAGCTACGCTGCGCCATAAGTACCGCCGGATAGATAGCCTCGCCCCGGTACTGGATCGGCCCCGTTATTCAGCTGGAATGCCCCCCATTGGCGAATCGGGACAGCGAATGCCCGCTAATTCAATAACAGTTCCTGATGACAGCATCAACAACTTGGATACTCGCAGTCGTCACCAGTTCCCAGTTTACACCATAGCTATTTTCGTTGTTGAGGAGCAGGCAACTTCTTTTGCTAGGAGACATTTCCACCTTTGCCACACCGGCCCTCACGGCCTGGACGGTCCACAGCCTCATCTGTGGGAAACCAGCCCCAACATGAGCTCCCTGCTCTCACCCGGCAAGGTGTTACTGCTTGCCGCTCACTATGCGACACATGGCGATATCGAGAGCCTGGCCTGCCTGGCCAGTCGGCAGGCCAAAGTGCTGCACAAAGAGCTCTTGTTGAGGATTCTGCTTACTTATCTGCCGGAAACTGTGAAGCCTCCGACCTATGCTGGCTTCTTGCTCGCGCTGGCCAGGGATAGCCTTGAAGGGGACACTGAGGGCGAACTGGACACAACTCCTGTCGAGCATCTGTCTGAAGATGAAGTCATCAGGCAGGCAAGGAAACTGCATCTACAGCAGCTCGTGTCCGCGGAAACACCAAGCGACTTTCACAACGACCCGATAAGCAACTTTCTCATTCTGAGGTCTTATAAGATAGACAGCGAGGCCGGTCTTCTATCACAAATTCCAAGTCTCCTGGCTCCATTCCTGTCACACTCGCCGGCACTTCGCCTCTGGACAACGTCTACCGTGATTCCCTACGTAAGGAGAAACGTGGAATACTACGCCGATGAGAATCCGGTATACTCTCTTCTCGACTTTCAGAAGCTCTCAGATCCAGCCGCCGTGCTGTTCTTGCTCTCTCGGACCGGAAGCCGCGAGGAGGATAAAGGCTTCATCGGCCGTGATGTTAGAGGATTGGTTGGACCGTGGCTTCATGGAAAAAGCCGATGGACGTCGAAGCCTGCCAGCGACAGTCAAAGCGCCGCCGACGACGCGGAATCGTCCCTTCTATCCCCCGGCTGGGAGCAATTTCTCGAATGGCTCGTTAATCAAGCAGCGACTTCGTGGACTGTTGCCGTTGCTGTAGCAGAGCAATGGGGAGGTCCCAAGGATATAGACCTGGGCGAGATGGCCGACTTGGAGTTCACTGAACCTCAGCACCAGTATCTGCTACTCGGCTATGCGCGAGCGATCCTTGCGTCTGCGTATCTCATTTCTGAAGCCACAGTGGAAGCACTTTCAGGCGCCTACCGGATGGTATATAAGATGAGATCCATGCTTGGCTACAGTGAGATTCCTCCCACACTGGATGTGGCCGTCTCTCAGCTGCCCAGCTTGTCCGGCATCGATGTGTCCTCGCACGTTGGCATGAAAACTGCAACTTACATGAGAAACGATCTACTTCTCGAACAGAATCCATTAACATCCCCTACAGAAGGGGCCATGGCGTTGCTGACAGCATTGATACTAAGTGCCTCGATCTGTACCAGCTTGGGTGTGCCTTGCTCTGTCAAGAAAGCCGGCGACCTTGCTTTTATCCAAGATCAACGGGAACAGAAGAGTGAGATCGCCAAACTTATTCGAAGCGCCTCCGCCCAGGCACACGGGGACGAGGACAGGTACTGGTCTCAAGTAAGGACCAAGATGCTATGGCTGAACACTTGGGGCGTCGATGGGGATCGGTCTACCAATCTCGAAATAAGAGGCATGCTCGGAGCTGTGCCCAAGGAGTTCGTGGAGACGGAGATTCTGAAAGCTCTTCTCTCCGGTTCACGTATGAAAACCAGCCTCCTCTAATCAATACCTACCATGCTGACTTTGCTTTGTAGGGTATACCCTTGCTAAGAGCATCTACGAGGACAGTTCAGAGCAGCCGCTTGCTGCCGAAGTCATTCAGGACACAGTTTATCAGGCGGCCTTGCGCGCTTTCGACAATGCTTCCAATCCCAACCGGTCGAGGGGTGGGCTGAAGAAGTGCGATGAGATGTAAGATTTGCGACTTCGCGTATCAACGCTCGAAGAAAACATCACTGACACTCGCCCTAGAATTCACTCGTTCCCAAAAACATTAAACAAGACGCATCCAGCCACCAAACGAGTGGAAGCCCTGTTACGATGCACGCATGCCCTGAGTGAATACCGCCTCACGCTTAAACAAGGCGAGCCGTTCAAGCCCGTCGTCCTTCGAGTGCACTCGGACCCAATATCCATCATCGACAAAGTCCTGGAGCAGAATCCAAAAGCATACACGCGTCTTCCCGAGTTTCTGGAAATGGCAGCCAACATGGTCCGCGCGGGGATCACCCAACAGGCCCGGTCCGTCAAGTTCGATTCGCCGGCAGAGGACAGCAGCAAGGAGCTCGTCCGAGCAGAGAAGCTCATCATCGCGCTGTGCATAGAAGCCGCGCTGAGGGAAGACGATTTCGAGACGGCGTACTCTTACGTGGTTAGTCGCCTGGAGGCGCCCGCCTCGGGAGGAGGAGGAAGCCAGGAACAGGACGAGTGGTCCTGGAAGGCCGCCCTCAAAGCAGGGCAGTACGTCCGCACCGACCGGACCCTGCTGCCGACGCACCTGGGCATCGCGAGCGGCAACCCCGAGATCCGCCACCTGGAGCAGCGCATAGAGTGTCTTGCCACTGCGCTGCGCGTCGCGCCCGCATCCCAGCTCCTGGAGATCCTCAAGACGTTCCGCCGCTGCGAGGAACAGCTCGACTCGGCCATCGCTGAGGAGGCCGCCGCAGAAGCCTCGTGGGCCGCCGCCGGCGAAGTCCCCGGAGCGTTCGAAACCGCTGGTCCCGCCCACGGCCTGCAATCGTCGAGGAACATGACCGCCACCGCCGCGTCGAAACAGGCCGAGGAGGCACCCATGTCGCTGTTTGACCTATCGCGGGCGACGGCCAGCGTGGCATCGCGCAACTTCACGAGGCTGTCGAGCCTATCGTCGTCGCTCGCCGGCGCGGCATCCTTGGCGTCGTCTACGACCAGTAATAGTACGTTGGGGGAGCAGCAGGCGCCACAGCGGTTACGCAAGAGGGATCAGCTCAGGGAGGCTGCCACGGGGACCCTTGTCTCTGGGGTTGGTTGGTTGATTGGGGCCAACGTCAATCGAGAAGCAACCGAGACTTGATTTATTTTGATGATAATGTATACGATGTATTTACAACTAAGCTTCATTACTCAACGGGAAGTCAGTGGATGGGGTTGACTTAATACTACCGTTAGAAACAGAGAGCAGGGGAACGAGAGAGGGTTTCTCTATCGGCAGTTCCAGGGTTGGATGCCACGGCTACTTGTACTTTGATGTCCTGCGTATTCCATCAGGCATGTGTCGTCCTTGACTACTCGTACCTTATGCAACGGCTACGCGATAGCGTAAGACTTTGAAACAAGGAATCTTTTAACCCGTCGAGTCCAGGCAGATAAGGATTGAAGCATCTCGAAGCAAAAAAGGCTGAAGCATTGCGTTTTCATAGGCCCAAGCGAGGGGCCGTCTTCCGCTTCACTCAAAGAGCCCAGACATGCTAAAAGCAACACTGAGTATCTAGGAGAGAGCGGCACGTTTTCATTCAAGCCTACACACAGTTAGTATATATCAATTCATACGAAAAAAAGGGGGAGTTGCCAAGTCAAGACCAATCGTCAGGTCATTTTGATGCCGGCGCTTCCAGTGTTTGTAACCGTCCGATCGAAACTTTTTGTAGTGTAAATGCGCAAATCTCAAGTAAGAGCAAGAAAAGAGGGCGAAGCAATGTTGAAACAAGTATTTGGTCGATGAGAAGCAAATCTGCCAAGGCCAGGTTTGCCTGCGGGAAAAGGCTCCGGAATCTGATTCTGGAAGCTGGGTTGCACACGGATGTTATTTCAGTAATGGTTGGATAGATAGTTGCATTGTGTGTGTGTGGTGTGCCAAGAGGCATTACGGCGGATGTGCTGGCTGGCGTAAGGTGATGGAGTTTTTACGTTGGCTACTGGCTTCATCAGGTGGTGAGTTAGCAGTTTCATGGTGCTCGCCTTCATCATCAGCCGAACAGGAGATGTGAATCCAGGGGGTTATCTGTCGCCGGTCAACGCACGTGTCCGGTTTTTTAAGCTGGAATAAAAAACCTGTCGACACATGGCACGACCGGCTTCAGCGGTCCACGAGGTTCACGTCGTCAGGAATTATTGATTGCAAGGCTCCTGAAGTTGACATTTTGGTGGGCTGTTGCGAAAGGTTGTTAAACGGTATCATAGGGGGTTGGCGCAAAGGTGACGATGGAAGTGATTGATTCTGCAAGATCCGGAAAGCTGCCCATAAACGGCCCATGCGCAACTCTGTAGCCGCAAGACCGACCAGCACGAAAAATGTAAATATCAGCGGCGACGGCCGAAAACCCGAATTTTGTTTTCCATCCCTTTGCTGTCGCATATCGCACGAGACTCCTAATCGAGCAGATCCTGACGAAGAGTCCGCAGCCGTCCATGGAGGTCGATTGACAAACCGCGGACACGACAAATAAAACAAGAACAACTTAGAGAAAAAGAAACGGAAAAGAAAAGAGAAATAAGCAGCAACATGCAGTCCATTAGTGACAAAGACGTCTTAGTCGTCAGGGATCGGTAGGAGGGCAGTCGAGAAACGACGGCATCATCAGTGCATGGCCGACTCGGGACCTGGTACAGTTAGCGCCCATGCCCACGGGTTTGCATTCATTCATCAGATCGAACCTCCGTAGGACTCGCGTGCCTCGGGTCGAGAGGCAGGCTCGCCGTATGCTGGGCCACCGCTGGCGGCAGGCTCTCGAGATCGGCCGCCGTCCCGGTCACCGGTACGCTCGTATCGATCACGGTCGTATCCGCCGCCGCTGCTGTTGCCGCCACGGGCACCGTAGCGGTCGCCGCGGTCATCGCGCGAGTTGCCGTAACGCTCGCGACCGTAGTTGTCGTCGCGGTCGCGACGCTCATAGCCGCGGTCGTAGCTGCGATCAGAGTCTCTGCCCGCATAGCTACGGTCGTCATATCGTCGATCATCACGGTAGCTGCGGTCGTAGCCGCTGCCGCTGCCGCTACCACCACCACCGGCACCACGCTCCTCGTATCGCCGGTCATATCCTCGCTCATAGTTGCGATCATAGCCTCTTTCGTTGCCGCGGTAGCGGTAGTAGTCATCACGAGAGTAGCCACCACCTCCGTAGCCGCCACGTCGGCGCTCATCGAAGCGAGAACGAGGGTCTATCACGATTGAAATCTCATCAGCAGGGGGGAACAGCAGGTGGACGATGGGGACAACATACCTCGCTTGGGAGGGCCAAAGTACTTGCCCGGTGTGGGAGTACGAGGGCGGGCACGGCGGGCCTTCTCAATGCTCATGGTACGGCCTTCAATCACCTCGCCCTGGAGACCCTCCTTGGCGGCCTCGGCCTGCTCAGAGGTGACCATCTTGACGAATCCGAATCCACGGGATTCTTTGGTGTGGGGGTCGCGCATGATCTGGCACTTCTCAACCTCGCCATACTTCTCAAACATCTTGGAGACCTCAGCCTCGGACAGGCGAGGGTGGATTCCGGTGACGAAGAGGTTGGAGCCGGGGTTGATGGCACCATCGTCGTCGTCCTTGGGACCGGGTGCATCCTTGATGCTGCTGCAGAACTTGGGTCAACAGTGCGACCACGAGACAGGACAGGACAGGGCAGAGCATGGGCAGGCTTACGAATCGGCACCAGAGGGGGACATGGAGCGGCGACGGCTTCCAGCGTCGTCGCGCGCAGGTCGAGGCGAGGCGCTTCTGTTATCGCGCTCGTAGCGAGGAGCCTCGTCTGGTGAAAAGGCCATGTGTCAGCGGCAGTCCAATTCGTCGAATGCACGCGGTACAAAACGCGTCGAAAAGAGGCGAGTTGGGTCGACCATCGTCATCAGCATCGCAGCTGAGCCAGACGTACCTTCGTAGCGGTCGCCATTAGCGGCCTCGTAGTCCATTGCAGTGGTCGCCATGCTTGCCAGGTCGTTCGAGATGGACGGATGTGAGTAGAGGGCGAAAACCTGGGGATTGGGTGATGATTTGGCGGTTCGCTTCCCACTCGAACAAGGACGAAGGGAGAGGTTGCTTGGTCGGAAAAAAAACCTGGTGGCACACGAAAAGATGTACTGTGACTGAGAGAGCCGATGATTAGGCGGGTTGGGTGAAGGGCGAGGCGAGCACAAACAACAGTCCAGAACAACGGCAGCGCGGCTGGTCGTCGGTCAATGGCAGCGTGGACAAGGGAACTGAGGAGCGGTGCTTCGTCTGGTGCAGATGAAGGGATGCGCTGGATGAACGAGAGAGGCTCGCAGTAACAGCTGGGCAAGGCTCAAGGTGCGAGGCACGGCGGAGCGCTGCATGGGCCAGCCGAGTGGCGACATGGCGAATTGGCTGGGTTGGAGTGCCTGACAAAGGGTCCTCAGCTTTAGGTAGGTATTCAGAACAGCAAAGGCCATGTTTCACTTGGCCGGCATTGTTTGATTAAGATGGTCTACAATCAAGGTTCTCATTCCATTTCCTCATTGCGAATAATACTCTCAGAGGACACCACCTTGCAGCAGATCAAGAGGTTTCGAAGCACTGCTATTTTGAAGCCTGCAGTTGAGGTGAAATCCTAACCTATACCTCCCCAAGGCGGCCCTGCTCATATGTCTATATCTGTGTCTGTATCATACACAATGCCGCCGCCGCCTGTCTCTCTCTATTGCTCTTTCTACTGCTAAGTAGCATGATGATGGCTTTTCAAATCCAATTGCGCATCGCATCCGTACGTCAGGTAACCAGCCGAAGCAGCAGCTCCTCTCACAAAGGGACAAACAAACAAACAGGGCAACGGGCAACATCCTCCCTCCCGCAACAAGGACGCGACCCATTTGGTCAAAGAAACTCCAAAGAACCACATGCTCCGTTGATTGTCGTGCCGAGACCCTCCATGACCTCAAACGGACATCACCAGACATCCTCTGGGTGCACCTCGTGCTTCTCGCCATCCGCTCTGACGTGCTCGTGCTTTGCGTCCCTCTTCATCGACTTGCGCATGTCGAACGCATCCTCGCTGTCCTTGTCGGGATCGGTGGCATGCTCCCCGTAGTAGTCCTTGACCACTCGAAAGACGCTGTAGCCCAGTTCTTTGTAGAACGCTATGGCCTTTGCGTTGCTGCTGCGGACAAACAAATCCATGAACCAGGCGTTGTGGGCATCGGCCGCGGCCTCGAGCTGCTCAACCAGGATCTTGCCGATGCCCTGCCTTCTTGCCTCCGGTGCCACCGTCAGGGCTGTGATGTGGGCGTGCCAAGGAAGGTAGTGCTCTGAATATTTGTATGCGTCTGGCGATGACTCAACTTTGCCCATGACTTTGAACAAAACGCATCGATTAGCAGTGCGCAACAATGCCGCGGAGAAGAAGAGGACCAACTATATCCGACAATGTTTCCCTCCGCATCCTCGCACACTTGAAACAGAGAGGGCCATTTTGCATAGTATTGGAGATAGAAGCTGAGCTCATACGTCTCCGTCAGGGGATCTAGGTTGCACTTTGAGAACTTGTTGACGTCGTCAGGCCGAAATCGTCGGAAGGTGGTCATTGTTGTCTAATAGCCTTTGCTTTTCACGGCCGTCCACTCTATGGATTGGAGATGGATTCCTGCAAGTGTCTGGATGTTGCAGTGTTGAGTTTGTCCTGGCTTCATTAGACTGAGAGAAGGATGTTCAAGTGTTGATAAGCCCACTCACTTATACTGGTGAAAAAGGTAGAGAATAGATACCAGGGGCCGACACTCTCGCCTTGGCAGATCAGAATTCCAAATGGAGATGCACCTCTATTACAGGCACCTGTCTTACATGAGCTCTACGAGTATTTGCACACCTCGGTATGAGCATTGAGTTGTTCTCTCACCTTTCTGTTGGACGTACCTACTCGTAGCACCACATTTTGCCTAGCCCCTCTTATTAACGCCACCGCAGCTTAAACCTTGAAGGTGTGCAGAAAGCGAGGCCAGAATTGCATGCAGTGAGTACCCATACGGTACCTCCCGACAGCTACACCGCTGCCTGACTTCTGCGCTGTTCAAGTTGCAACCGTTGTAACGTCAAGTATCTGGAAACCCGGCAATCTTATCGCGATAGGAGCTGGCTTACCGTATCTTTGGTTTGGTTCGGTTCCTGACCAGGGGCTTTGTGTTCCTCTACCGTACCCTCTTGGCCCTTCATTTCAACGGCTGCAAGTAGTTCCCCTGCTTGATGCCAGTATCCGATCTGGAGGCCGATATTCGACAACTAAAAGACATATTGTGCCTCAGGAAAGGCGACAGATATCAACCCTGCAACCCCGAAGATCCCTCATCTGATATTCCCAAGAGGCCTCCTCACCAGCCTGCGCTCACCCATTATGCCCGGGTCGCCGCGAACTCCACGACACTCGCGCAACTCATCAGCAGTCGACAGCTTCGCCGGATCGCCCCCGATTCGGCGGTTCTCGAGATCATCCGCGCAAGATGCAATACCGTCGTTCTCGCACAGCCCGAACCAGCACGATGTCCTTGACCTTGCGGTGCTAGGCGGTCCCGGAACAGGGGCTGGCAACGGAATGGGCAACTTGGCGGATGAGCTGGCGGATGCATTTTCCGACTCAGGCGACGAAGGCGACTACGATGCCGAGGGGCAGGAGTACGAGAAATCGGCAGACCAGGCGGGACACAACGACGACGCAGCACGGGGTCCGTCGGCAAACGACGATGCGAAACGAAGCGAGGGGGACGCAGGCCTGCTCTCCCCGCGCCCAAAGAACCACCAGGGCCACCAGAGAAAGTCGAGTCTATATGATGGCAGCGACTACGGCTCGGACTCGGATCTCGACATCGCCGGCATTCCCCCGAGTCTCATGGCCAAGATTGACGCTGTCGAGAACCTCACAATCCGCGGGACGGATAACTACGCAGGCACGGCGGACGATGTGCTGAAGCGGGTGATTCAGGAGCTTCGCGACCTGGGGTCGCAATCTAGCGTCGAGGGCAGCGCTTCGAGGTAAGCCTTTGGGCGACGGCGATGTTGTCGTGGAGGAGGTTCCTGGTGCTAACTTGACGGTTCTTCCCTAGACTTATAACAGCACACTCGGCACTGACGACGCATCTTGCGCACCAGACCCGCCAGCTTCACAGCCTCACCTTTCCCCTGCTCTCTCCGCCTGCACCCGCCCCTGACGCCGAAACGATTGATACCCTTATGCCCCTCCTCGGATCCCTGACGGACGACATGCCGCGGCCATCGACGTTGGCCTTTAACTCGCTGACGGCGCTGCACTCCATCACATCGGAACTGGTACAGTCGCTGAGTTACCTTTCCGACACGCTGCACATGTCTCGTCAAACAACAGCCGCCGCCAGCCGGAGACTGAAGAGCGCCAAGGAGCTCGTTGCCGAAATCAGAAAGGAGGACGAGCTGAGGGAGCAGGGCGAGGAGTGGCTGACGAGGGGGAACTGGGGCGAGCGGCTGGAGAAGAGGGAGTGTGCAAGCATATGCGGAGAAGTCATTGGCGGGTTCGAGGATGTCTGCAACGGCTGGAGGGAACGACTGCTTGCCCAAGCCGAACCTCAGGCGTAAATAATACTCAACACCGCGCATGGATATGAAGACGGGAGAGGGATAGGATAAAGGGCGATGGCGGCGGCTGCACTGATAACATTGAAGCGAATAGCAACTTCTTTCTTCTTGTTTAATTTTCGCAACTTGTTTGATAGATAGAATCATGAATAGGACATTGAGCATGGCCTTTTCTGAAGAGAGACGTTTCTGACAAAGTCAAGAAATGATATCGAACTGTTTCAAGGCCACGAGCGTCTCTTTGATAGAAGAGAGTTGTAGAGAGACACGGGTATTGTGATGACGTTGGTTTTAGTTGAGCCTTTGACTACTACTACTAGTCTATATCGCGCCTTGAGAGCCCATGCCAGGATGGGGCGATTCAACTTGTTCTGTCTTTGACCAGAACGAAACCTGGTCGCCAGACGTCCAAGTCGCTCCCTTGCGTCCGGACATCTGAAGCTCTGTGCAGCAAAACCCCTGTACAAACAGCACACCTGACGAACATTGCGAACTGATGACTCAGCGGCCCAGAAACAGCCATTACCTTATTGAACAAAAAGGTACGTCAACGTCAGAATGCGGGAGAACGATAAAGAGGGTGAAGCGAGAGTGAGCACATACGAGTACGCTGACGCGAAACTGGTGCGTCCAGCGAACGACGCCACGGCACGAAAAAAACGCGCCCTTCCTGCAGCCCGCGGGGGGGATGATGCGTCCAGGGGTCCAGGGAGGAGGCCCAGCAAGCGGCGCTCATTGGCGCGCTGCTCTTCTTTTTTTCTTCAGAGACAAGAAGCACTGACGGGGGCCAGATCTGGCCACTGTGCGCGTCATGTTCGTTTTTCTTTCTGCGGGAAAAAACACACACACACCCCCAGCATGTTGTTGTTGTTGGCCTGACCTTGGACCTTGTTCACCCCCATGCAGGTTCTTGCGTGCAGGTTGCAACGTCGAGGCTTGACAACAAAACAACAACAATAAACAGCTGCAGGGACAGGCAGGAAAATGGCGATGCGTCCTTTTTGCGGCTGCGGCAGCACCCCCTCCTTCAATGTGCTGCGGTAGTAATATGTAGGCATGGGATGATAATATTGGAATTTTTGTCACATTTTGCTCGCATCACGAGTCACATCAGCCACTGCTTGCATTCAGATGCGCAAGGCATGTACCTGTACTGTACTGTACTGTACTGTACTGTACTGTACCTTAGTAGTTACTTGCACGAGAGCACGTGTGGCCACATACAAGCACTCCGTCTGTAGGAACAACCAAGGATCCAGCAACTGCAAAGCAGAAGCGCTGTGACGGTGACAGAGACGCGCAATGCAGACGGGGCTGGCTTTGCTTTGCATCGTGTTGCTTTTGAGGCGTTGTTTTGGCCATCATGTGAGTTGAGTTTTATGGCGTAAAAGCCGCCCTGCTTAAGACCAAAGCCTATTGAGAGTGTGAGTTTGGCACACCCGGTTTCGTGTCTTGGAGCAGATCCGCACCCGGTAGATGCTGTTCTAGCACCCGTTCACGAACAACCCAAAGGTGAAGAAGAACTGAAGAGAAGTGATGAAAAGATAAAGTACAGATTGAACAATCAATCAGTTCATTCACATCGCGCCTCATCAAAGAACACCCTGCATGTAGCAATCGTGGCAGCAGAGCCTCGCAGCGGGCGGTCGAAAACGCAATATATTAAATCACATCAACAACAGAGGCATCGCCTCGCCCTGCTTGTTTACCTACTTGCCATCTCCCCAGCGAATGGCAGCAGCGAAATCTGGCGTTGGGGTGCGTATTTGGTATCAGTATTTGTTGTTTCGACGACGCCGCCCGCGTCTCGTCTCGCCTCCAGCGCCCGGCACTCACAGTGTTATTATTGTTCCACCCCCCTTTAGCACGTCAACGCCCCCCAACCAGGCCTAGCCCAGCTGCCCGCCCGCCATCAATCAATCAATCAAGCCCGCCGCTGCATTTCCCCAGCAGCTTCACAGCAACCCTCCCTCCGCAGCCTTCTGCCTTTCTCGCAGCCCTCACGAGCCCGTCCTCCCATCGCCCCAACCCCCTCGCTCTGCCTCTGCGTCTGCGCCTGCGCGGCCGGTTATCAGCAGCATACCGAACCGTCCCGGGGCTGGCCGACTTTCGTCTCTGCTCTCTCGACCTTCTTTTATTTTGTACTCATTCGGACCATTCACGCAGCCGGTCCGTGTGCGGTCGCTGTTGATTCGACGCACGCAGGCATCAACAACGTCGACGCCGGTTGCATGCGATAGGCCGCCAACCACCGCAGTCACTCGCCCTCTCCTGGCCGCCGTCTGCTCCATGACCACCGCCGTCGGCCTCGCTCTGTGACTGGATGCGCGCCCGCTCGTTTCCTCACGGTCGCTTGCTCGCATAACATCGTCCGTCTCTTGACATAGGCTCCTCTCAATCGTCAATTCACCCCAGCCAGATCCCCCCGCCGCACAACCCACGACCGAGCACCAAGGATCAAGGATCTCCGACACAGCGGTGCCGCCTCTTCTTCGCCTGGAGCAAAACCCGCCAGGCTTACGCTCTCCTCCGCTCGCGACATTCACAGCGCTCTCGCTGCTGCCGTCAAACCACCCTCGGCATCGCACCCAGGAGAGCAGCCAATAGCCCGTCGATGCCATGGGCGTCTCCAAGAAAACCATGGGCGAATCAAAGCAGCCATCGACAGGCTCCGCCCGCATGTCAACTCCTCCTCCACCATCAGATCGCGGCCATCTGGACTCGAAGCCAAACGCCGAGAGCAGCGGCAGCACGATGCGCCAGCTGCGAAGCAGGACCAGGGCCAGCGACGTGGCTCACCCGGCCGCCTTTGACGTCGATGCCGTCGACAACCTCCTACTCAGAGAGCTGCAGCACCCTCAAAGAGAAAGCACTCCAGGAGCCAGTCCGCATCGCAAACGCCAGCGAATAAACGGCGATCGGTAGGTCATCAGCTCTGCCCGGCTCAACAACACCCTACTAACAAAGTCTTTGCAGTTTCATCCCTACTCGCACTGGCCAAGACTTGCAGGCCAGCTTTAGTCTTTTACATGAAGACGCATCTCCCGCCACTCCGTCAAGGCATAAGAAGAGGACGCCGCAAGGTGAACTTCATTTCCAGAAGAGTATGCCCTTTTGTGTTGATGCTTTGGTGAGAGCGAAGCCGCTGACATGATGAATATAGCCGAAGAAGCTAACCGCACCTACTCAACGCTGTTGCGTGCGGAGCTGTTTGAGGGATCAGTACCTCAACTGACGCCCGCTCTGTCGCCAGACAACAACCTGCCAGCCTCATCGCTTGTCGCCGTTCAGGATGGCACGCGATCTCACACTCCTCCCAGTCACAGCTCTGCAGTAACCCTTCCCTCATCGCTGACCCCGTCAACTCCTCACAAGAACCTCTTCTCATATCTCTCACCACGCCATCATGGCCACCCCGTGGGCCACCTCACCCCCTCCAAAACCCCCCAGAGCCGGCATGGCCCAAACTTGGACACAAGAGCAGAGATCTACAGCCTCTCCCCCGTGCGTCTTAACAGCCAGCAGATGCTCCTGAGTCCGCGTCGCCAGCCTCGGGCGGTCAGCAAGGTCCCCTACAAGGTCCTTGATGCGCCCGAGCTGGCTGATGACTTCTACCTCAATCTCGTGGATTGGGGGAGTGCCAATGTTCTGGGGGTCGGGCTCGGATCCAGCGTGTACATGTGGAATGCCCAGACTAGCAAGGTCAACAAGCTGTGCACGTTGGAGGACGACACCGTGACGAGCGTATCTTGGATACAAAAGGGCACACATCTGGCCATTGGGACCGGCAAGGGTCTCGTCCAGATTTGGGATGCCGAGAAGGCCAGGAGATTAAGAACCATGACTGGACACACGGCCCGCGTCGGATCGCTGGCGTGGAACTCACATATCCTTACCTCTGGCTCGCGCGATCGACTGATCTACCACCGAGACGTTCGAGCACCAGACCAGTGGCTCCACAAGCTCGTTGGGCACAAGCAAGAAGTCTGCGGTCTCAAGTGGAACTGCGAGGATGGGCAGCTGGCCAGCGGCGGCAACGACAACAAGCTGATGGTCTGGGATAAGCTCTCGGACACGCCGCTGTGGAAATTCTCGGACCACAACGCTGCCGTCAAGGCCATCGCCTGGTCGCCTCATCAGCGAGGCCTGCTTGCCTCGGGCGGCGGCACGGCCGACAGGCGCATCATCTTCCACGACACTGTCAAGGGGACCGTTGTCAACGAAATCGACACGGGCAGCCAGGTCTGCAACCTTGCCTGGTCCAAGAACTCGAACGAGATTGTCTCGACACACGGCTACAGCCAGAACCAGATCGTTGTGTGGAAGTACCCGTCAATGACGCAAGTAGCCAGCTTGACGGGCCATACATACCGCGTTCTGTACCTGGCCATGAGCCCCGACGGGCGTGTCATTGTGACGGGAGCCGGCGACGAAACCCTGCGCTTCTGGTCAGTCTTTGGCCGACGGCCAGGCACTCGCGAGGATGGCGAGACAGGAGGTGGCAAGTTCGCCGACTGGGGGATCATCCGATGAAAATTTACCCCTATGGCTGATTTTCAAGCCATTGAGAGGACATTGTAATCTGGTTGAAATTCACATCTCTCCTTTGACAGGGCGCTCTATTCCTTATGTCTATACATACCCCGGGCCTCTCGTCCACTTCGTTCGACAACAGACTTTATTGGGAAGATCTCCTCCCTCTTCTTATTTGCTTTCCTCTTCCATTATCTTCGCGAGGAGTTGAGAGTGTCGTTTGGCAAACGCGTGCGAGCATTGGCTCGGCGCCGGTCTGGGATATTTGAAGGTGCGGGAAACGAAACGCGATCACGTCTCTCCTATTCATTCGATTGTAACATTTGGCATAATCCGGCGCGGTGGCTGAAAGGGTTCTCTTTCTTTCTCTTCTTTTCCCTTTTCACGTTCTTTTCTTTTCCCCCCTTCACCCCGTATCGCTCATTGCGTTGCGGTGACCGACTCCCTTTTTTCTGGGTGTTTTTGGGTTTAGGGGGAGGGGGCTATATATGTCGAGTCCGCAGAAGGGCGGGCTCGTTGTGCTTTTATTCTAACGTAACGCAATGCCTCAATCTTAGCCCTTTTTTCTTTTGCTCATGAGAAAAGGGAATGAGGATGGATTGGGATGGAAGCAGGAACGAATTGACGGTCCTGGTAGCGGTTCTTGATTTCTGTTGTTGTCGTCGTTGTTGTTGCTTCACGGCAGCTTTAGCGCATTTATAGAGAAGACGGGAGACGTGTCTGATCATGGAACCGGAGTCCAATATATCACGTATCTACTTGATGCTTCTTGATGCTTCTTACTGGCTGATGATATTTTTTGGGACCAGTGATGACGGTGATGGTTTGTGTAGATTGTATGTTTGAATACAGCTATATACCTATACTAGGTAGGAGGTAATGTCCATTAGGTATCATTGAGCATGAATACATGACAAGAGTAACAAGAAAGGAAAAAAAGGAAAAAAAGAAAAAGGGCAACAATCCGTCCATCTCTTCATAGATTGACAACCTCCCAGATCTCAACATCCAACAACAAGAAGCAAAGGAAAATAGTGAATCAATAGAAAACAACAAAAAAGAACTTGACAGGATATCATACCAAAAGATAACATTAAAGAACCCAGCTAGCAAGCCACTTCCCGCCTTCGTTGCCTTGTGTCCCTCATCTAACGCGGTCATTGTTATTCACAGGGTAAGGACATCAACACGACACGGGGGCATCGTCAACATTCATTGCCAATCTATTCCCATACGCCCCATCCCGAATCCAGAAACGTTTAAAAACTCATATCCCTCTCTCAATCCTGGCCCGTCTTGCGCTCCCTCGCAGCACCCTCATCGCCCCTGTCCACGCCCGTCGTAGCTCCCGGCTTGGAGTTTTCATCGAGCATCGGTATGTTATCCAGGCTGACGGACCGACTCTTGCCCGCGTCGGGCCTCATCGGCGACGGCGCGAGCTGCGCGTCCAGACTCGTCGTGGCCTGCGCGGGCGGCCCGTCCAGGTTGTGCTGCGGCGCCATCTGAGGCGACTGGAGAAGCGCCTCCGGGCTGTTCTGCCACTTGAGGACCTCTGCCTTCATGGCCTCGAGCTCCTTCTGGAACCGCTTGCCGAAGACGTCGATGTAGTATGTGGCGCCGTTGTAGATGCTCCAGCCAAAGACGATGAGCAAGAACGCCGTCGACGCCCACCGGCTGAGGAACCACAGCGGACAGGGGAGGATGGTGAGCACGGCGTACAGGTACTGGATCACCATGAACGCCGGCTCCTGCAGCGCGGCCGGGCGGGAGAGGACGAACTTGCCGATCCAGGTCTTGGCGTAGGAGCGTCGCAGCCAGGTGAAGGACGTGGGGCGGCCGGCGGCGATCTTGTCCCTTCGGCGCACGGTGATGAAGAAGTAGTAGGTGAGTTGCCAGATGGCGTAGGGAATGGTGCTCCAGGCGAGCATGGACAGGACGTTGGCGTACGCCGTCGAGGACCCCGGGCTCGAGTTCTTGATGGCCCAGACGGCGGGGAAGCGCTTCATCTGCTCCTCAGGGGTGAAGAGGTGCACGATGCAGTGGAGCGTGGCGCAGGGCATGATGTGGATGAAGAGCGACGTGACCTTGTCGAAGCTGTGGAAGACGAGCGAGTTGCGCCACATGATGATGGCCACGGCGTTGTTCCCAAAGGCCAGGCAGTAGGCGGCCATGAACAGCCGCTTGGACTGGGGGAAGACCCAGATGCTGAGCATGATGAGCACGTTGACAAAGTAGCAGAGGTCGGCCAGGAAGTAGTGGTATCCGCGGCGATGGTAGGTGAAGATGCGGATGGGCATAAAGTACAGCAGCTGGACGGTGTACCAGATGTGAAAGTACTCGGGAAAGCCGCCCATGAGGTATCCGCTCGCAAAGATGTTCATAACGCCGCAGATGAAGGATATCTTCTCCCGGAGGCTGATGGCCTTTGTGTCGTTCCACTGCTTGCCGAGCTTGTCCACCCGCTGCCGCATGCGCTTCCTGTACCGCTCGAGCTGCTCGTCGGCCGAGGGCACGCGCCGCCGCCACTCCTCCACCATGCGGTCGCGGGCGTTTTGCGTCTTGGACTTGAAGGCGTCCCGCGACCGCCGCACCTTGTCCGTCTGGGCGGAGATGCCCCTCTGCAGCTTCTCGAGCTGCTGCGGCAGGGCGAAGTTGTCGAGGAGGTCGAGCACCGTCAGGCGGTCCAGCGGCGGCAGCGCGTCCCAGTCATCCTGGTAGGTGCTGCTGCTGCCCGAGAAGGACGGGTTCCTCGACAGCCTGTGGCTCTTGGGCGTCGTGGCGCTGAGCGTGGGCGAGTCGAGCATCTCCGCGTCCACCTGCAGCGAGCTCAGGGGGGAGGCGAGCTCGGCCTCGGCCATGGCGGGCGGCGAACGGTCTCCGTTGGCAGACGAGCTTGTCTCCGGCGTCGAGAGGGGAGTCGAGGTTGTTGCTTCTTCGTCCATTTCGGCGGAGAGAGGCGTTGAGCAGGGTGCTAGAGCTGCGAGTTGTTCATGGGTTTCGATCCGTGTAAGACGGGGTTGTTGCACGACCTGACAAGGCGAAGGGGCCAAGACTAGGAATAAGATCCCAACAGCCCAGCTCGATGAATCAAGCAGCGAAGCTGGTCGGGTTGATCTGCAGCTGTGTAGGCAACGGTGGCGAAATCGGGCACCGCAAGTGATGACAGCGAATGGACAGCGGATCGACCGATGGCGTCAGGATACGATAACAGGACGAGGGCCGAGGAAGCGGAAACAGGGCGGCGGTAGCCAGAAGAGACGGCGGAGAAGAGGATGGATCCAAGGTGGGAAAAGTGACGCCAGGACTGACTACTAATAGGGGATACAATGGTGATGATGGAGATGCCAGGAGGACGGACGAAAAGATGGAAGAGACTCGGGTCGACACGAGCCTAAGAAGCACTGCCGGTGCTTCCCTCGATGATCATCCGCGAGATGCTTCCAAGTTTGTCCCCGGGCTTGGGGAGGCCCATGTGATTCGAGCTACGGGGGAGTACATGGCGGTACCGAAGGCTGTTGGTGCGATTTGTACGATTCCTGCGTTTAGCAGGGCGCTTTGGGCGTGGTTTCCCGGAAAACGTCAGAACCTTGACGGCATGAAAGTACCTTTCAAGTACAGCATCAGAGCACGGCAGCAGCCCGACCCAACCTTGATAAACTCCACACGCTTCCAGCCACTACGACTAGCGGGCCCCAAAGACCCTGTAAACGAGTGAAAGAGTGTACATGCATTGTGCTGCTGTTTTCTGCGGTCATCTGTGTACTTGCACGGTTTCACATGCAACGCTGGACGCTTCCTCACCAGCTGGGCGTGGCATGCTCAAAATCGTTGGGATTTCTTGAAACAACAGGGTCTGAAACGGACACTGTGTTCATATTGAAGATGGACGGGACCTGGACCCTTTGTATTACACGTGCTGAATCTCTCTGTCTTGGGAACACAGGTCCCAATGTACCTTACAGAAGAGCACAAGGCGCCCAGAGGGATCAAAAGCGATGTAGCCCGCCCACCTGATCCTCTACCGAATGGCTAAAGTTTCCTCCATCTACAAGTGAGGAGGACAAGGCAAACGGACGAGAGCCATTGCTGCATAGCAGGTGCTGCCGTCCCGGCCTCTGGTTGGAGGAGACACGGCCATGGCGAGCTGGGCGCTAACAAGGCGACAAGCTCCGGGCTTGAGTCAGCTGTGGGCGGCATGTGCTGCAGCATTGATTGAATAACAGATGGAGTGGTTGGATCTGGTAGAGAGTCACGTGCATCGACACAGAACAGACCCAGCGGAACGCGGAGAATGCATTAATCCATCCATGTCTTCTCACTTCAGTGCCTGAGAATGAACTGCCCTAGTACAATACAAGTACCTGAACCCCCACCATCATTTATTACCGCTCCGGTACTAGCCCGGGTGCTGTTTGTTAGTGGTGTTGCTGGCTCGCTCCAGTCCAGTGAGCTGCTGGCATTGATCCATCTACTACTAGTAGCATCAAATCGCAAGTTCGCGACGCGTCAAAGCTGCATCCCGCATTTGCGCAACTCCAGCAGCGCCGCTTCGCATTTCTGAGCATGACGGCCTGCGCCCTCACGGCCTGTGCGAGATACTTGTGAACCACGCGACTCCGCCTATGAGCGACGAGAGCCGAACCGTCCCCGTCGAGTTCGAGTGGTGTTGTCAGCAGTCATCTCGCATCCTTCTCTGCGCGTGCTCCAAGTCGCAAGAGTCGAAGCTGAACCGTCGCCAGCACCCCGTTGGCCTTCGCATCTTGACCTGTTAGGATTCCCAGCTGCCGGCGCAGCTACATCTACTTCATCATGGGCAAGCTCATTCGCCTCGAGCTGCACAGTATGTTTTTGCAAGCATCTCCGATTCATTTCGCCGGCGCCCCAGCTAACGATGCGCTCTCAGACTTCAAGTCCTACAAGGGCCACCATGTTCTCCTATTCGGCGATTCCTACTTTACGTCAATCATCGGACCCAATGGATCGGGTAAATCGAACTCGTGAGCGGCCCTCCTCCAGCCTAATGCGACCGACACCATTTGGTGGGTGTACTAACAGCGTGTGGTTAGGATGGACGCCATCTCCTTCGTCCTTGGCATCAAATCCTCACATTTGCGCTCCACGCACCTTAAAGAGCTCGTCTATCGTGGGCGCGTCCTGAAAACCTCAAAAATCAACGACGATGGCTCAGCTGAAGCAACCACCGACGCCGCCAACTTTGCCGACGACGACAAGGCCTCCCGAGGTGACCCAAAGACTGCCTGGGTCATGGCGGTCTACGAAGATGACGCCGGCGAGGAACAGAGGTGGAAGAGGTCCATCACGAGCCAGGGAGCTAGCGAGTACCGCATCAACGATCGGCAGGTTACGGCCCAGCAGTACAACGAAGCTCTGGAAGCGGAAAATATCCTGATAAAGGCCCGCAATTTCCTCGTCTTCCAGGGCGACGTCGAAGCCATCGCTTCACAGTCGCCACAGGATCTCACGCGGCTTATTGAGCAGATTTCGGGGAGTTTGGAATACAAGACCGAGTACGAAAGGCTCCAGGTCGAGGCAGAACAAGCCGTTGAGAACCAGAATTTCCAGTTTCACCGCCGCCGTGGCATCAACTCCGAAATCAAGCAGTACAGGGAGCAGAAGAAGGAGGCAGACAGCTTCCAGAAGAAGACGGAAGAGCGGGACGCGGCCATTGTCACGCACTGTCTCTGGAAGCTCTACCATTTCCAAAAAGCCATGGACGATTCGAGCAGCGCCATCCAGGAACACCACGAAGAGTTGAAGGATATGCGGAGAAACGTGGAGGAATATGAGACCGCCCTCGAAGCAGCCCGAAAGGAGCAATCCACCGTCCAGAAACAGGTCTCCAAGGTGGAAAAGGACATCAAGCGCACGGAAAGGAGCATCGAAGACAAGGAAAACGCTCTGGTTCCTATTGACGAGAAGATTCATGAATCCTCGCAGCAGATTGAGAAGCTGCAGGTCCAGGCGCAAAAGGTCGGCAAGGAGCTCGAGGAACAGACCGACATTGTGCAGAAAGTCCAAAAGGATATCGGAAGCGTCAAAAAGGCCCAGGAGCTGTTTGAAAAGGACGTCAAGGAGCAGATGAAGAAGACCGGCCGAGACATCAGCGACGACGACCGCAAGGAGTACAACACCCTTCGAGCCCAAGTTCTGGCCCGCTCCGGCTCCAACCAGGCAAAGTTGGAGAACCTGGAGCGGCAGAGGAAAGCGGACGAGGTCACCGTCAATAGTCTCAAGGGCAAGGTCGACAGTATCTCTGGGGCCATTGAGAAGCTGGAGGCCGAGTTCACCAGCATTGGGGAGAGGCGAAGCTCTGCCGAAGCGGCGGCGCAGGAGATTTCCAACGACATCGCAGCCAAGAAGAAGGAGTTCAACCAGCTCCAGTCGGAACGAGTGCGGACCAACCAGAAACGGACCGAGCTCGAGGAGAAGCTCGAGGATGTCGCAAGGAAGCTGAGAGAAGCCGACGATGGCCGCCGCCAGAACGACCGAGAGGCACGTATGAAGGAGATGGTGACGACCCTGAAGCGGATCTTCCCTGGCGTGCGCGGCCGCGTTGGAAACCTGTGCACGCCGAAGCAGAAGAAGTACGACGAGGCCGTTATAGTGGCCCTGGGCAGAGACTTTGACTCCGTTGTGGTCGACACGGAGAAGACCGGTGTGGACTGCGTTCAGTATCTGAAGGAGCAGCGATTCCCGCCCATGACCTTTATCCCCCTGGACAACATCAAGGTCAATGCCGTCAACACCGCCGTCAAGGGTTTTCCCGGCGCCAGACTCACGATTGACACCATCAACTTTGATGCGTCGGTCGAGAGGGCCATGTCGTACGCATGTGGCAGCTCTGTGGTGTGCGACACGCTCGACATTGCCAAGCACATATGCTATGACAAGAAGATCCCGGTCAAGGCCGTCACGCTGGAGGGTTACATCATTCACAAGGCAGGCTTGATGACAGGCGGTCGCGGTCCCGAGCCCAAGGGCGGGAAGCGCAAGTTTGAAGAAGCCGATGTGCAGAATCTCCAGCGGATGGCAGCCAAGCTGAAGAGCGAGATTGACCGTCTGCCCAAGGCGGACCGTCGGGGTACTCAGGAGGAATCTCTACAAATCGAACTCAACGGACTCGAGCGGCGGCTCGCGGCGACTAGGGACGAGCTGGCGGCGCTGAACAAGAACTGGACGAGCAAGAAGCGCGAACTGGACAGCCAAAGGAAGCAGCTCCAGGAGCTTCAGCCCAAGTACGAGGAGCAAGCGGCGCAGTTGGAGCGTACAAAGCAGACGGTGCAGGAGTTCAGGGACGCCATTGCACGGGTCGAGGACGAAGTCTTTGACGGCTTCTGCAAGAGGCTCGGTTACAGCGACATTCGCGCGTACGAAGCCTCTCAAGGCAAACTGGAACAGGAAATCTCCGAGAAGCGCAACCAGTATGAGGTTCAGCGGCAGAGGCTGGAGAGCCGACTCAAGTGGGAAGTAACGCGTCACAGCGATACGGAAGCTCGCATCAAGAGAATACAGGAGCAGATCAGACGCCTGAAGCAAGACCTGCGAACGTATAACAAGGAAAAGGCTGACATTGAGGATTCGATGAGCCAAGACAAGGACGAGCTGGAAGCCCTTCGAGAGACGCTCGAGGAGTTGAAGGCTGAGCAGCTGGAAAAGAACCAGAGGGTCAGCGAGGCTCGCGCCGAGCTACAAAAGCGTAGCAAGGACATCGAGGCCTGTCAGCGAGAGATCAACGCCTTGGAGACGACTGTGCAGAAGAACAGCGCAAGCAAATCTGCGCTTCTGCGAAGATGCCGGCTCGAACAGATCCAGATTCCGTTGACTGAAGGCGCGCTCGACAATCTGCCGACGGAAGACGACTTGCTGCGGCAAGATCCTGACGCCATGGACGTCGACGGCGGAGACGACGACATGATGGATATTGCGCTGGATGATCACGGCATCGAAATCGACTTTGATGGTCTGGAGCCGGACTTGAAGGAGTCTGGCGAACCCAGTGTTGAGGAGGCGCTGATGGAGAAGATTTCGTCCCTCACAGCAGAGCTGGAGAAGCTCAATCCCAACATGCGAGCCATGGAACGGCTGGAAAGCGTCGAGGCGAGGCTCAAGCAAACGGACCAAGAATACGAAGATGCCAAGAATGCGGCTCACAAGGCCAAGGAGGCTTTCAATGGCATCAAGCAGAGACGATACGAGCTCTTCAACAAGGCCTTTACCCATATCCAGGAGCAGATTTCAAACGTCTACAAGGATCTCACGCGGTCAGACGCTTACCCGCTTGGTGGTCAGGCCTACCTCGACATTGAAGAGGACACAGACATGCCCTATCTGTCGGGCATCAAGTACCACGCCATGCCGCCGCTCAAGCGATTCCGGGACATGGAGCACCTGTCTGGTGGCGAGAAGACCATGGCGGCGCTGGCGCTTCTCTTCGCCATCCACAGCTACCAGCCGAGTCCCTTCTTTGTTCTGGACGAGGTGGACGCTGCCTTGGACAATGCCAACGTGGACAAGATCAAGAAGTATATCCGCGAACACGCGGGCCCTGGCATGCAATTTATCGTCATCAGCTTGAAGGCTGGTCTCTTCCAGGACAGCGAGAGTCTTGTCGGCGTATATCGCGATCAGGAGGTGAACAGCTCCCGAACGCTAACATTGGATGTAAGTCTTTTTGTTTCTATTCACCTTTTCCACGTTGGTGGCCAGTAAAACTAACCTGTTATTTTTTCTCCTCTTATAGCTCAGGAAATACGCTTGATTCGCAGGGTAACCTCGTATTCTTTGTTTCATGTATCAATATTAACGACTGGAAAAAGGGGGTGTATGCAGGTAGAGAGCAAGGCAGGCTGGATAGGAAAACCTCAGGAAATCAATGAGCGACGCCACTGCCTCGGCCATTGGAGAACGAGCTATGATACTTGGCGTATGGGTGAATATAGTGTCTTTTCCCTCTTATTTCTCTTCAGTTATTGATTCCGGCCTGTTGTGTGTTTGTTTCCCGGTTGCCTCGGATTGGGCTACTTGCTTGTCTCTCTCCCGTCGTATGGCCTCTCTGTGCCTTTGAGACATTGCCTACAGAAGCGGGTGGACCTGTATCTTGTGTATATACAATGCCTCGATCAATAACAGAGCAAAGAAACGCATCTTGCCTTGTTCACTTGTTTAAACCACCTCCATTTGCATCAACTGCAATGCGATGCGATGTCATTGGTCGCCAGGGCAGTGAGCAGTCACATACGGGCTGACTAATAATCCGCATTCCGGCCTCGCTGGAATCGCGATCGTTGATTTGATAGGCAGAAGAGCGCAAGACTTGCCGACGCGACAGCTTCACCATGCATGTCCATTTTGAGCAGCATCAATGAAAAGAGCATAGTTGAGCTTGCGCGTGCCTGGACAGTGGAAGCGAAAAGCCACAGAGCTGAAAGGGAGAACAAGGTTTGGGGCCGGTGTGCGCATATTCTGCAGATTAATCCGGACAAAGCGAGAGCCACAGGCGGCCGAACTTGACCATGGTCTTTTCACTCCACATACGATGAGCATTTTCTCTCCTCCACAAACCAAAACAGCGTCGCTTCTCCATGTGTGAGGCTTCCTCGATCTCTCGGTAACCGATAACTATCCACGTCTTTCGTCGTCTGGAGCCTGCCGCGTCGGCTCTGCGAGAGTTGTCGCATGATCCGCATCGAAATTTGAAGCCGCCGCAAACCGACCTCACGCGAGCCTCTTGAAACGGCTGCACTCTTGACCGGGCCTCGCGATATCATACTCGCTGCCTCGATTGTACCAGTTACAACTCCGCCAAAGAGGAAGACGAGCGCCGCCATTTGTCCGACACCATGGATCTCGCAGTGACATTGATCAAGGCCGTGATGCGGGCGTTCTATTCGACGCGAGACATCCTCGTCGTGGACGCACTGATTCTGCATGAAGCGTATGCCTCCTCGACGGGTAGTTGATCTTTGCTAGGGGAGAGAGTCATGAACTGAAAAAGATTCCATGCATTAGTCTTCGCGATGACGATCTTGCCTACTTGATGGCCATAAACACCAAAGACTTGCACAAGATTTGCGGAAAGCTTAGAGAGGACCGTTTCTTGACAGTGTACGCTCCCATGACTTCTCGGCCACTTTTGTTGCAGACGGGTTAGCTTACTAGAGGCAGTCACACGAGGTCAGAACTGCGACCAGGCAATCCGCGACCGAGCAATCGCACATGGTACTACATCAACTACCGACACACCATCGACGCCATCAAGTGGCGGGTTTACAACATCGACAAGGAGGTCCAGGGAACCACGGTGCCGGTCAACGAGAAGAAGGAATACTTTTGCTCGTTCTGTAAGGCGGAATGGACGGCGATGGAGGTCCTGGACAGCGTCGGGCCAGAGGGCTTCCTCTGCCATCGGTGCCGCCGCCCGTTGTCCTTTGAGGCGGATAGGAACGCCGGCAGACACGAGCAGTCGACCCGATTGAATGACCAGTTCAAGTTCATCAGCGAGCTGCTGCCCAAGATCGATGCGGCGCACATCCCGGAATGCGACTTTGATCGCGCCTTGTCCAAGGCCCGGCCGGTGGTCCGCGACGCTACACACCAACGCGCGGCCACGATACCCGTCGACGACGGCTCATCGCGGCCCATGGCCGTTCGGGGCCTGGCCAACACGGGGCCCCAGTCCATCGCGGTCAACATATCCACGTCAGACGGGCCGTCGGAGGCCGAGAAGGAGGCCGAAAGACTGCGCAAGGAGAAGATTGCCCAGCAGAACGCGCTTCCGTCGTGGATGTCCAACAGTACCATTACAGGAGAGTCGTTTTCTGCAACGGCAGAAGCTGGCGCCCTGGGGCTGAGCAAAGAGGCAGCTGGAGGAGAGTCAAAGAGCAACCTGGTCGACAACAGTGCCACCACGCAGATTGATGACATTTTCGAGAAGATCAAGGCAGAGCAGGCGGCCATGTTGGCGCGAGAAGCAGATGCGGAAGACGAAGAAGAAGGAAGCTACGGTTCCGAGGAGGAGGAAGATGACGAGTTCGAGGATGTCATGGCGACGGGCAACAACTCTGGCATGGGCACGCCCGGCATCAAGGTCGAGGCATCCGAGGTGCCATCGGGCGATGCGTCACGAGTCGAGGACAGCTCGGATGACAGGGCGAACAAGCGGGTCAAGGTTGAGACGGAGGCTGTCAAGGCCGAGAGCGGCAACGAGGATGAGGAGGATGAAGATGAGCTCGAGTTTGAGGATGTCTGAGGCGACGCATCCGCTCCGATGGACGCAGAATTTATAGAAAGATCAAGGCAAGTCATCCTGGCAAGGACTGAACGCACAGCAGAGTGGGAATATCAGGTACGGAGAAGGAGGTTGGGATTGTTTGATGCCGTCAGCGTTTCTCGGCTCATTCGTCGAAGTTGGTAATACTATTACAATCACCAACCGTTGTTGGAATGGATTATCTATGGAAAAGTTGACTCTAACAGGCCATAGAGATGGAGCTGTTCATGTCTATAGAAGCACCACTAGGTACCTTTCGTGAATACCTACTACTAGTAGTCTATTAGATGCTGTTAGTAGATGCTTGCTTGCACGTATTTGGATAACATCATCGCGCTGTCATGACTTGACTCCCTGTGATAATCAGAGCCTGAGCTGTCGTTTGCTTGCCTTTTTTGCCATCCCAGCTAATTAACACCGTCAAAAAAAGAGCGGGGCAGTTCCTTTCCGTATACGTGATGATGAGCCAATTGGAAACTTGAATCTCATCCAAACATCAAAAGCAACCAACACCAACCGTGAACAGCTGCCAGTGAATAAATAAAAAAAGAGTCAGCTTTTGTACTCACAATCCCCTTTGAAATTGAATGAACTTGGTTTCCTTGATTTTTTTTCTCACTCAAAGAAATGACTGTTATGTCGAGCCCATTTACTGAGGCCCCGCGCCATGGCTCCTGACCTGCTGCTGCCTCGCATATTCCTGCTGCCGACGCACTTGGAAGCGGACGAGGCGCGCGAGCTGCAGGCCAGAGTGCCCTCCCTGACGCAGGATGCTCGCGAGGCGCGCGTCATCGTGGGCAAGATCTCGAGGCCGGAGCGCGCCTTGTTTGAGCTGCGGCGGCTGAAGCTCGTGACGGAACCGGTGGCTGCGGAGGATGTGGACGTCGAGGGAGAGGGAGGAGAAGGGAGAAGGGCCGAGGGCGGCAAGCGGAGGAGAAGGAGTAGTGATGCGGTGGATGTGCCGTCGAAGCGACAGCGGCTGATGGAGGCTGAGAGGAGGGGGAGTCGAGAGGACGAGGGATACGATGGGACGTTGGATCTGTTGGGGGGGCCGGATGATGTTGTTTTGGTGGTGAAGCTGGCTTGGCTGCTGGATAGCCTTGAGCGAGGCGCGGCGCTGCCCGTCCAGGACTATCTGCTTTACCGCGGACGAAAGCTCTCATCCCAGTCTCACGCCGCCAAACCATCCGCCTCAGCAGTCCTCGCCCGCGCAAGGCAAGACGGCCAAAAAGAAGTCCACCGCACCACCGCCACCAGCCCCTACGCCAAGCGGACGTCAAGGCCAGGGACAAGCTCCTCGACTACTACAGCCTCGGACGGGCGAGGACGGACTTCGGCGGAGCCGCCGACGCTGTACCATGAGACGACGTCCGAGCACGACATCCCCCTGCCGCCGATCCCCGAGTACCTCCACACGACGTATTCGTGTCAACGGCCGTCTCCCGTGAACCCGCCGAATGCTGCGTTCATCGCGGAGCTCAAGGCGATTCGCACGCTGCGGCTCCTGCGGGGAGATCAGATTGGCGTGAGGGCGTATTCCACCTCGATAGCTTCTCTTGCTGCGTATCCGTATGCTATACAGCGGCCACAGGGTGGGTTTATTATCATGGCCACTGACTACTCCTCTGCCTGTTGGATGGAAGAAAGCTAACGTTGTCGGGCGTCTAAATAGAGATTGAAAGATTACCTGGATGCGGTGTCAAGATTGCGAGATTGTATCAGCAGTGGGTATTTACTGGCTCTACCGACGATACCAGGGCGGCGGAGACAGATACCGAATTGGCCGTGCTCAAGCTGTTTTACGAGATATGGGGAGTGGGCGATGTCACTGCTCGTCACTTCTACAACAAGGGTATGTTTTGTCACAACAGTCGCCGAAAGACGGCACCGATGATTCCACTCACTCACTGCTTCCGTTGACTCCAGGATGGCGAGATCTTGATGACATTGTCGAGTATGGATGGAACTCGCTGAGCCGGGTCCAGCAGATTGGCGTCAAGTACTACGACGAGTTCCAGCTGCGAATACCACGACAAGAAACAGAAGCCATCTCCGGCGTCATCCTCGCCCATGCGCGCCGCGTCGACCCAGGCTTCCAGATGGTCGTCGTCGGCAGCTACCGGCGCGGCAAGCCGACGAGCGGCGACGTGGACGTGATCCTGAGCCACCCGGACGAGGCGCAGACGCTCGGCATCATCGAGAAGCTCGTGTCCAGCCTGGAGAAGAGCGGCTTCGTCACGCACATCCTGAGCATCTGGACGCGCAACAGCGAGCGCGGCCAAGCCCCGCTCGCGTGGAAAGGCGACGACCGCCCCTCGGGCTCGGGCTTCGACACGCTGGACAAGGCGCTCGTCGTCTGGCAGGATCCCGAGACCAAAGCGGACGGGGGCCCTCACCGGCGGGTGGACATCATCATCAGCCCCTGGAAGACGGCCGGATCCGTAGTTTTCAGGCGAAGGCCGAGATAGTCAGAAAACCTGATTATAGTCGGTCGTGTTAGTGTAGCCGTAAACTTGTTTTCCTTACGGCCCTACTTCTTCGGTCTAAATGTAGAAGGCCAACAACAGTAACTTCTTCAGAAAGTGAAGACTTCGTGGGACGTATAGCGTTCGGTTCACTGTGGTGGAGGACTTTTGGCTCATAGAAGGATCTGGTTCATAGTAGAGGTTAGGAGTCTGTGGTGGGGGTTCTATTTCGTGGGGAACGGTCTCGTCCAGTTCTAGGTTTCGTAGTGGGGCACGTGGAGAGGAGGCCGCCGGCGGTGAGGTCTAGGTTCGGGAGTTTGTGGGAGGAGAGGCGGCAGAGGTATAGTCCGCGGCCGGACGGGAGCCGCGGGAGGTCCAGGTGGGTGCGGGGCAGGCGGGCCGAGGAGTGCGGCGACGACAGTTTGAACTCGGGGTCGGAGCGGAACGTCATGGCGGCGTCCAGGGAGACCTTGCAGCAGAGGGGCGAGGTAGGGTCCTAGCGCGTG